TTTTGGTGTAACTCTAAAAGAAATGAACGTATATACATGAAATTTTCACTGGTTGTTTATATTTGCATTTTATATACACGATAACGTTTTCAAAATATTTTGATTTATTTTGAACTGTTAAGGGACATTTTCATTTCCCATCTTTTTTTAGTTTTTTTTCTAAAAATATCAATAAAATTTTATTTGTTGGTTGCGAAAGCTTGAAAATTTAATAGAAGGCTCCTAATATATTGTTTCAAAGGCAGATGAAAAATATTAAAAATACTTAGTCACAATTTTTTTTATAAGCATTTAAAGTTCAAAAATTGACAAAATATGGAAAAATCACAAAAATTAGCAAATTATTTTGAGTTAAGAATTCGTAAAAATTTTTCTTTTTAAATCTAAGGTTTGAAAATGAAACACAAGATTCCTTATAAAATTATCTACCTTTATCAATAAAAAAATCTCTACCGGACAGTCAAATTAAATTTTTATGAGTGTTTGAAATTCAAATTTTTACAACATTGGATATTCACTCGATTACTCATGTAGCGATTTCTTTATTTTGTTGCAATTCAAAAACAAACAACTGTAAATACATGAAAATTTCACTGAATGTTTAAATTAGCATTTTCTATACACCATACAATTTTGAAAATATTTTGACTCTTTTTGAGCTGTTTATGGACATTTACAGCTTTCAATTTTTTTTTGTTTTTTTTTCTATAAATATCAATAAAGTTTTATCTGTTGGGCCAAAAAGTGTAAAAATTCAATACAAGGCTCCTGATATATTGTTACAAAAGCAGTTGAAAAATATTAAAAATACATATGCACAGTTTTTTTTTATAAGCATTTAAAGATCAAATTTTGACAACATTTATCAAAATCTCGAAAATTATCAATCATTGTAATTAATAAATTATAAAATGTTCAGTTTTTATAGCTAAGGATTACAAATTCAACACAAAGGTTCTCATAAATAGTTCATACTATAACCAAAAAATCTAAAAAATATATGAACACACTTATTTTTTACAGACATTTTAAATTCAAATTTGGACGAAATTACATATTAAAAAACCTAGAATAACTATTTTAGTTATTTTGTTGTGATTGAATAATATAATTATTCGTGGGTACTCGAAACTTCTAAAGTGTCTATTATATATCTATGATAGTATCACGGTTTTTGTTGATGTATAACGCGTTATAAGTATCTAATGGATATTGTGATATGATTAATTTGGAATTTATTATAGATACCTATTATAGGTCAATTTTTTGTTTAATACCATAGATATGTATATAATATGTCTTATACATAGACTGACATACGACATACCGTCACCGCTCTGAATCGTTTTTCTTATACAATGATATTATATCATTGAATTCAAATTTAATACTATCCATTATACAGTGACCCACTTGTAACCTACTGTACAGCAGAGCGACACCCACTTGCCCACCTTTTTTTATTATGTAATTTAATAAACACACATCATTGTAAAATCAATACATTCATCGCTCCGCTCAGAATCTAAAACCTAGAATACCTAACTATTTTAGTTATTTTATTGTGATTGTATAATATTATTCGTAGGTACTTGAAACTTCTAAAGTATACTACTACAATATATCTATGATAGTATCACGGTTTTTGTTGATGTGTAACGCGTTATAAGTACCTAATGGATATTGTGATATGATTAATTTGGAATTTATTATAGGTAGGTACCTATTATAGGTCAATTTTTTGTTTAATACCATAGACATATGTATATAATATGTATTACACCTAGAGTCTAGACTAACATATCGTCTCCGCTCAGAATCGTTTTTCTTATACAATGATATTATATCGTTGAATTCAAATTTAATATCATCCATTATACAGTGACCCACTTGTAACCTACTGTACAGCAAGCGACACCCACTTGTCCGCATTTTTGAATTTTAAATGCTTATAAAAGAAAATTGTGACTAAGGATTTTTAATATTTTTCATCTGCCTTTGAAACAATATACTATTAGTCTTCTATTAAATTTTCAAGCTTTCGAAACCAACAAATAAAATTTTATTGAAAATGAAAATGTCCCTAAACAGTTCAAAAGAAATCATAATATTTTATAAATTTTATCGTGTATAGAAAATGCAAATATAAAAAAATAGTGAAAATTTCATGTATCAGCTCAAAAAGAGTCAAAACTCAAAAGTGTATGGTGTACCTATAGGAAATGCTAATACAAACATTCGGTGAAATTTTCATGTATCTACAGTTTTTCGTTTTTGAATTACAACAAAATAAGGAAATCGCTACATGAGAAATCGAATGAATATCCAATGTTGTAAAAATTTGAATTTCAAACACTCATAAAAATTTAATTTGACATTTTTATAGACATTTTTTTTTTGATAAATGTAAAAAATCGTATAAAGAATCTTGTATTACATTTTAAAATCTTAGATTTAAAAAGAAAAATTTTTACGAATTCTTAACTCAAAATAATTTGCTAATTTTCGTGATTTTTCCATATTTTCTCACATCATTGTAAAATCAATACATTCATCTTTCCACTCAGAATCTAAAATTACATTTGAAAATGTCTATGTACCCATGTGTATAAAATATATTAATATACTCTAACAGTTTCATACAGCTACTAGAAAAATATTTTTAAAATACATACAACAAAATAATTAAAATCATTTTCCTTGGTTTTAATATGTAATTTTGTCCAAATTTGAATTTAAAATGCCTGTAAAATCATTAGATGAGAGTTTGTTAATTTACTCGTGAATATTCATTATCTTATGTAGAGCATCAATAGCTCGTAAAAAACTTATTTTTTTGTTGAATGTATAGGAAACCTTAGGTTAATCTTATATTAAATTTCCAAAGCTTAGATATAAATAGAAACATTTTTATGAATCTCTAATTCGAAATAATTTACTAATTTCGTGATTTTGATGAATTTTGTCAAAATGTTAAGTTTAGATGCTCATAAAAAATTATTGTGAATTCACATTCAACTTTATTTTTAATTTCCACTAACATTGGTAGTAACATCAACTTATGAGGAACGTTGTATACTTGTACCTATTACATTTTCAAGTTTTTTGACAGATCTAAACATTTTGGTACCTATGGATAAATAATCTGTGTTATTTATATTTTGTATATTTTTTGGTTACAGAATTAACTATTTATTTGCGACTTTGTTTTAAATTTTCAGCTTTTTAGCAATAAAAGTTGAACATTTTATTTATGTTGTCAAAATTCGAACTTTAAATGCTTATAAAAGAAATATGTGACTGTATTTTTTATACTTTTCAATTGCCACTGTAACAATAAATGAGGAGCCTATTGTATCCAATTTTCAAGTTCAATTATCCTTAATTTTTCTTTTCTTTTTCCAGGCGCTTTTGAAAACTATTGGGAATTTTTTACTTTTGACCCCCCAAAGTACCAACTACTAATTCGACTCACTTTCCTATCAGAAAAGATACTGTTGAAAAAAATCTAAGCATTTTTACTGTCCTAAAAGTTTATGACAGACACAAAAATAAAAAAAAACACACATCATTATAAAATCAATACATTCATCGCTCCGCTCAGAATCTAAAAGTGGGTAAGTGGATGTCGCTCTGCTGTACAGTAGGTTACAAGTGGGTCAATGTATTAAGGATTGTATTAAACTTGAATTCAATGATATAATATCATTGTATAACTGTATAATAAAAACGATACTGAGCGGAGACGGTTTGTCAGTCTGGATATTGTTATTATTTACTATAACCTGTAAGTTGTATTAATATTATAATAGGTAGGTATTATTATTTTTTATTTGTTTCTATGGTGATAACTGATAAACAACGCGTTAAAAATTAAAATCCCATTTTTAGCGGTTTTTCGTAATTTGTCGGTGGTTTTTCCTGTGTTATTAAATAACTATTGAGAAAATCGAAAAATGACTTTTCTAAAGAGTACCATCTTGATCCAATTTGCTAAAAGATAAGGTACTATATGTTGAAATCGAAGCACTCTTTTTGGTAGATATTTTGTATGTCGTAATATTAAAATTAATAATAAATGAATACTTTTTCTCAACTTACAAACTATGCTAAATGGGTTAAATATTCCCTAACCCATGAAATATTTTCAGTCATGCAAATAAAACTTTTTCTACGAACTCAGAATTGAATGCATCGTCCACATTTTTTACTCTCACGAGACTGCAGAGAACCAGTAACGATAACGATAAGTAAAATTGTAAAAACATATAAATCCGGTCTTTAAAATTTAAGCATATAAGTTGATATATAAGTGATAAAACAATTAGGTACCTAATATTAACTAAAATAGTGGAGGGACATCCCCCCCTCCCGGCTACTATTTGGTTATCTAAAATTTGTTCATCTCATAGACATTTAAATAAATTTATCTATATATCTATGGTTCATCTAAATTTAATTTTGGTTACCTACCTATTAACAATTAAATCTTATAAAATATATTATTATTACCTACGTAATAATACAGGCCGCCACATGCCGTATTGCCGCGTAGGTGGTAGGTGCAATTATTATTTCATATTTATCAAAATTCAAGGAACAAGCATAATACCTAATGATAATATTATAACAAGATTAATGGTTATAACTTAGAAGTTATAATAAATTCTATAAAAATGTGTGTTTACAAGCCAGGAGGTACCTACTAAAAGTGGTTAATAGTATAGGCACTCTAGTGACTAGCACTTACTATTTAATCTTTATATAAGAACAATTTATTTACACAGAAATATTGAATTCCTACTATTAAGTATTTATCACGTTTTGTTCAATTGGGTATGTCGTTGAGATTAAATGTCAACATATATATACATTTAGCTTAGATAATGATATATGGTATAACCTATATTACCTATATAAATATAAATGTACACATATTAAAGTAACGAATCCATTAGCCCCAGTTAGTAGGTAGCCACCTGTGAAGTTGTACACATTCTATGTTCAGTAGACTGCTGTATAGTTATTCTAATAAAATGGCAATCATCGAACAATTAAGTGACGTAAGAACATGTTTGTTAATTAATTGAATTACCTATTTTCATACCTAATAAAAATATATACTTTAGTACTTTACAATTTAAAAGAATGTCAGCGCAATATTTGTTGTTTCTTTAGCCCACTTGCAATATAATACACCTATTACCTAGCAAATTTAGGTTCATTGGAATTTGGAACAAACCTTAAATTTTTAGAATCAACTTATTTATCATCAAATTTTAAGTTTAGATCTTATGTGTTTGAACGTTGGGTAGGTTTTTGTACGATATTCCACTTTTTATGCCATATAAGAATTTATAAAATATAGGTAGTTATTAATTATAAATAATTTACAGTTCAGTGTATTTTACATAGGTACCTACCTTTTTTATTTTCTACAGTTTTTCCAAGTCATCACTACATGGGAGCTGGACTGTTTTCACATGGGGGCATTAGCCCCCATGTAACATCGTTTATTAAATCAATAATTTATACAATTTCGATTTATCTCATATGTCTAAGTTTACTTTCCCCACCAAAGAGGTATACATTACAATATTACATAGGTACCTACCTACCTACTTACTCATGTCATCACATCCATTAATAATTAAATATTGTAAGCAAACAAACCTAGATAATGTTCTGAACATTGAGTGATAATAATAATATGTCATTATGTCAATTCACTCGTCCATATGCAAACACTCAACAGTCAACACAGTAGCTAAATGTCCTAATACAAAAGTTAACAACATAAGATTTGTTGTGCTGATTGCTGACGTCCTCTTCATCAATATAATATTAAATTACCTATATGATAATATTTTAGGTTTGGAAACAATTTATATCATTTGAATCCATTTCGGAATTATGGAAAAATCAGCCAACATATTTATTAGTCCAGATGTTATTTATTATGGGAGGAGCAGTAACACTTATACACGGTAAGATACAAAAAGTAGGTATAAAGTTGTGTATAAAAGTATTTGATTTACTTACTATTTAGTAATTAGTAGCATAACAAAATTTAATTTATTTTGTGGTAATGTGGTAGCATAGTGTCCTGTTAAATTTAGTAAGTTTATAAATACCAATATGCCACTGGCCGGTTGTACCTAATTAATATAACCCAGAAGATGGTCATTGCCCATTGCACATTAATAAAATGTAATGTACCTACATCATAATAGAAATCAGAACACAAGAATAATTAATTCATTCAATAAAACTATCTATGAAAAGTAAATATTCATTGAAACATGACTCTTTTAGCACTTACTAATGGAGGAAGACGTCCTCTACTTTGGTTATGCATAATATGTCATGGTTTGGTTATTGAGAGTATATGTTATATTATGCCTGATATAGACAATTTTTGGCATAGTACTGCACCAGTTATGTTTTTCCGACATAGGCTTCCGTTGTACGTCATAATCTTATGTAAGTATTGCATTTCTAAGTTTTTACAGTATATGTATATTTTCTTAACTTTACAGATTCAGTTTTTTATTACATAGCAATTGAAATAGCGTACAGGACGAACAAAACAAAAGTAGGATTTATAGTTACTGTAGGATTAAATGTATTTTTGATTGATTTACCATATGATATAATGGGTATAAAATTTGTTCATTGGACTTGGCATGATACAGACCCAAACATAGAGGACCGAATGTATTGGGTACCATGGACTTCTTATTATTTTCATATGGTGTTTTCTGCAAGTTTTGTTTTTTGGTTTTTCATAAAAGGTGTTAATCTTGACCAAACATATACATTCAGAACAGAGATTATAACTTCTCTAAAAGCAATATTCCTTAGTACACCTTGCGGAATATTATGCTTTTCTGTACTGTATCACCCATTACATGATCTGTATGATGTCCCAACACAAACAATAACAGTGTTTTTAATATCATTATACATCATGTTGTCTATTTTTAAACGCAAACCTAGAAAAATGTTTCACCGTCCATATACTATGATTTTGTATCTTACTGTGTACTACTCTACATTTTTGTGTTTCGCAATATGGGGTAAACCAGAAAATGAAATTTCAATTGGACCTCATGAAGAAATTGGTCCATGCAATGTTACTGTATCATCTTTTGGAACAGTAAGTATTTATTAAGGTTTGGAACTACAGTAAATATATCATACCAGAAATACTTGAACTAAAAATAGTGACAAATTAATAGAAAATATTATCTTGTCATAATACACAGTTACGGTACTATTCTTGCCATACACTTAATCAATTTTTTTTTAATACATATGACACATTTAATTTTAAAACCAATTTAAGTTATTAGTAGAGCGCAGATCTATATGCATTAAAATCAACCAAATATTTAATATGCACTAAAAATTGTTTCTTCAAAATGTTTGTTTTGTAGGTAGTTTTAATCTATAAGAAAATCTACAATAAATTAATATCAAAAATGTATCCTAAAAGGAATTTACTTAGATAGCTAAATCATGTTTTGATGGTAGTTTCAATCTGAGAAAAAAATTGATTTCCAAATATACTTGAGAAAATTGTTTGTATATACTAATATAAATATTAATTGAAATTATGAAAATATTTTTTTTTCTCTAATTACAAAAGTAATCATTTCAAAAATGTCTAAAAAGATTAATTACTATAATGGTAAAATAAGTTTTGTAATTTAAATCTTAATGCAATGAAACTAATTTGTGTTCACTTAGTTTATTATCATACAATCAACCAGAATAAATATGCAAATGCATACAAATCTACGCTGCAGTTATTAGTTTGTCATGCTAAATAATAGAATGGTGTATACCCCACTCCTAAAGGCAAATACAACCTTGTTAACAAGTTGACTGCCGTGAGTACCCTATCTGGTACTCACATGGTTTGTCTCCCGAGCCACAGTATTTTTATAGAGCTATCCTCATACGTTATGAGTACTAATCCTGGTACTCACACGCTGTTTGACCTTGATAATTAATTTGTTTTTTTTTTTCGTGATTTCGTCAATGAGTACCAATATTCAGTGGCATCCGCAGGATTTTTCAATGGGGGGGGGGGGTTGAAAATTACTTACAATTTAATTTTTATTTTGTCCAGTCTAATAATTGCAGATGTTTATTTGGGGTATTTTAAAATGATTGTAACTTTTCAACTCTTCTGGTAGAAAAAATGCTCTGATCATAAGCTTCGATGCCAAGTGTATGTTTTTGGAAGCAAATCGGATCTAGTTAGTATTTTTAGGAGGTCGAAATTGAAAATTCTTAGTGCTTTTAAAAATAATTTGAGAAAAAAAAATGAAAATTTATTTAAATTGTTTGGTAACAAGCTTGGTTAGACCGTCTTAACTTGGATTGTATTTGATTAATTAAAATTTTTTTTTCTATAAATGTCAATAAAAAATTATTTATCCGGTCAAAAAGCTTAAAAATGTAATACGTAAGTTTTTTATTATAGCTAAAATATTAACAATACATCATGGTTACTTTTTATAAGCATTTAAAGTTCAAATTTTGTGAAAACCACGGTTAATTTGTAGTTCAAAACTTATAAAATATGTATATCTAAGGCTAGACAATTTAATACAAGGTCTTTCATACAAGTAGTTCATACTTTTACCAAAAAATTACAGATAATTTATGAAAATTTGTATGCAAATTCAATGTTTTTTCAAAAATGAATTCATTCTGGTATTACATATATGAGATTTACTATAGTTGACAGTTTAAACTTGATTAATATTTTTTTTGAAAAAGTAATAATAATACGGGCAATGGGGGTTTCAACCCGTTAGCCTCCCTCCTGCCAATATTGGTACTCAATAATCCAGAAAACATAAAACCCTAAGAGGTTTCACAAGATACTTACAATTATAAAATGACCATAAATCATAATTAGCTTTAAAATAAAAATACAAAAAAACCTAACGAGGTACCCTTGCATTAAAATTTGAAAAAATAGATAAATTGATTATTGCAAGATGGAATTAATAGTTATGCTTATAATTTGGGTTCCAAGCCTTACTGTTAAATTATTTTCATTTTTCATAATTGTTTTAATTATATTTTAGGAATTAAAAAAACGTAAATATTTATGTATTGAAGACTATAATGAAGATTTTGATTTCCATTGTGTGAATGATGTTCCTCCTCAACATAGCCTAATGTATACAATATGTGGAACACCTTTTAAGAATCGGATTGAATATATAATTTTAATAATCACAATCATTATAGTATCATTTACACATTTCAATGAATCATTTAAAATAATAAAACAAACTAAAAAATCTCATTGATAATATCAAAAGTTTATTATTAAGCTAGAGAAATATGAAAATAATAATAGTAGTACGAATTAAACTGTTAACATATAAAGTATTCATTAAATATTTTAAAACTGTTCTATACCTCATATTTATCTGGTTGATGTAGTTATTCTTGAAATTGTTCTAGTTGATTATAAATTTGTATTATTTATAACATTTTTTTTTAATATTGCTAGATTTGCAGATAATAGACATTGTATGGTATTGAGGTTTAAAAAACTAAGATGCTTTTACATGTAATCTGATTTATAAATAAAATATACTTATATTGTATAAAATAATAAGTAGTTAATAGTAGTCTAAGAAATTGTTTTGACCACCAGTCTGTTGTTGATAGACTTCAATTGTATCTCCTTCTTCCATTTCGAGGGAGGATGGAGTATCAGCTTCGCTAATGGCCTGACCATCGAATCGGAATCGGACTGTAGCCATTGCCAAGCCCTAAAATATTACAATTTTGAATGAATTAAAAAAATATTGAAATTAAAAATATTAAACCAGCACATAGGCTTAATTAATAATAATACTCTATTCAAAATAAGAACAGACCAGGCAGTGGACAACAACTCACTGATGTTTGCACATCCATCTCCACTACAGCTGCCTTCACCAATCAGCCCAACATATTCGCCCTACCTGTAAGAACTACCTGCCGCTACCTACTCGCTAACTGAAATGGCACACTATCATTACAGACTAATTCACAAATTACCCAGGAAGCTTAGTTGTGATGAGCGATGGCGGTCTATTTTTATTTTGAATTAAGTATAGTCTTACAGATAAATAAAAATATCAATATTTGAAATCAAAATGTGTTAATTAATCAAAAACTGGGCAGCCTCGGAACGGTAGACCACTGTGATTGGGCAGTAATCAGTAGCGCACTAACGACACAGCCAACGAGACTGCATATGTGCGAACGCGACGCAGTTTTGTCGTGATTTTTCCTATTCTTATTTGGTATAAATTATATTAAATAATTATTTAAAAAGACACCCACACCCATACTCATTGTTTCTCACAAATGTGTGACTTGGCAAATGTATGTTTAGCAATTCATGTAAAATCAATTTAGTTTAAATATTAGCGAATTCACATATTATTTAACTATGATATTTTAATTTTAAAGCGTGTAAAAAACAACAAATAATGATGCTGTCATTAATATTAAAACTAGACGTCAGAACTCTTGAATGAAGACTGATTAGTTAATATAATGTTATACACTTGCAAACAGTAAGTCTACAAGACAATAAATGCAGGTGTGATGTTCCTTATTTTTCTTAAAAGGAAACAACTGAATTTAACCAAGTACCTAGTAACTTTTATCATTTCATGTCATACTATAACCGTTATAGGGGTTGTGTAACAATTTAAATTCCAAAAGGAAAAGTTAGTAACAATAGTTCTTTAAACTTTGTATTTAAAAATTCAAATTGATACCTACAGTTAGTAGTATTAAATTTTGAACTTAGCATTACCAAGAAATATAGTTTTGATATGGTTTTTTTTTTACTGTAATTACAGGCTATACCTACTCCATTTCAGGTCAAAATTTTAAGTTTATACCACTACGAGAAGCGCACCAAAAAAATTCCATTTTGTTCATTACACATTTTTTTTAAGCTCCCATACATAAGACTTATTAATGACAACTACCATTACCTTAGCCGCCTAATAAAGATTCTAAATTTATGCTACTGTAAAAAAGTAGCCTTGAAGAAAAAAATTTAAAGTAATTAATTAATTATGATTTTAATAATAAATAATTACAATAATAATACTGATTTGATGATTTTAATAAATTATGTTTGGCAACAAGTTTTTTTTTTTGAGTATGCCATTAGATTATCAATTTAAGAGTATAAAAGATAGTTATATGAAAAAAGTGACTAAATAAATATTATGTTAGATTGTTACCACTAAATTAATTAGTAGTTAATTCTTCGTAAAAATATCTTTTTTTCTAATAATATTATATTCTATGAACTTATAACTTATATAAATAATATGAAATTCAAAATTACATAATTTGTGAATATTAAAAGTAATATAAGTTGATTTTAAGTTAATGTAGATAGAAATGAGTAAAGTTAATTAAAACAGTGGACTAGTAAGTTAAGTTAATAAATTAAAAATAACCTAACTTTTAGCTTATTAACTCGTTAATGCCCAGCCTTAGAATTTTGGTAATTCTACCATAAATACAGAGGGAGCATAGTTGTCCCGTGCAAAACAGATTTGATATGTTGCTCATCTGTAAGATGGAGACAAGGCAGCGGGTATAGCGTAATCTTAAAAACAAAAAAAATCATCAGTATCTAATTCTTTTTTATTACTTTTAAAGTGCAGTTTGATGGAAATTCTAGTTGCACTATAGTTATTTTTAATTTAAATATTAAAAAAACCAAATTAAAACCATATTATTGTCTACACAGCGATTATTTCTAGTGAAATTGAATTATTTATACCTTAGACTAACTGATTAACAAAATATAATTATTTTAGCTTTGTTTAGTTCGAGAAAATATCCATATTGTTGAGCCTGACTCACCTCTACAAATCATTTGTCAATATTCATTTATGGTACTAATTTCAAATGATTTGGAAGTATCGAAAATGTAATTGGTATAAATATATAACTTATGGTTACTACTGAATATATTCATTTTTACTAGTAAAATAGTAAACCCCGGTTAAAGCAACAATTACTCGCTACTACCAAACTTCCATAATGTAATAAGCCAACTCGTACACAAGTAAAGTTGATAATCGGGCTACTTTTCAGACATTCTACTTCAGATTAGTTTCCATATGCTCATGACTAAGGTTCAGATTTGAAGGCAAAAGCCTTTTGTTTTAAATAATAGAGAAATAATTTTTATATACAAATTTGTCATTTAATATTATGTAAGATAAACATATTTCTTTCCCCGCCTTTTTTACTTATAAATGCCTTTAATGTATTTAATTTTCAATTTATTTAATAGATTTATACACGACACACGTATTATCGGTACAAATCAGATTTTCTAAAGACTGCCTCGTCAGTTAATTATTTTTAATGGGTTTTATTATTGGCGATATTTATCTATTTCACTAAATACTTGGCTAAATCGCTATATTTGGTATGGCCTGTTAATCTAACGCTTATAAAAATTCATATACTACCTATCTATATATTAAAACATGTCTATAATGCGTATATACTATAGATTCAAAATTGTTCATCAGTCCGCCTCGATAATTTTCTATGAATAAATATAGTTTAAGCCCAAATCGTCAAAGTTTTACTGAAGACAGTTTATCTAAGTACATGGTAGTTATTTTTTTTGCCTTTTTTGACATTTTAAATTGATTATATTGCCTTATAACCTGAACCCTACTCACTACTTTGTTTGCTGACATCATTGAGTAAATTTTAGCAATGTAATAGACACGCGTAAGTAAATGCTTGATTAAACACTTTTAATTTCTAAATAACTTGATTTAAAATATTACAAGGGTCATTTAGTTTAAAATTCAGTAACTGGAATTATAATGGTTACAATAAAATGTTATTTAATAGTTTATACTTACGGTTCTTTCACAATAGGCGTTCATAAGCTTTTTCAATGGAGTGTGCTTCTTGATCTTAAACTGCACGACAGCATTATCTTGACCAAGCACTTTCAAATTAATATGTTCGGGGGCATCCTATAATACATGACGTTATTTTTAGTATTGATTGGATGGTATAAATACTGACATTTAAATTTGCACCAAATTAGTTCATAATCGAGTGTTTTAATTTTGAATAGACTCTAGGAACATTCAACATAATTAATAAGTATGATTATGAATGAAGGTTGGGCAAGTTATTGATAATTTTTAACTCAGTTAATTAAATTAAAAGTTAAGTTAATAAACATTTTTAATACATGAATTAAGTTAATAATAAAAAAAAAAAAAAATTATATATGAGATATTATTTAATAAAATAAGTGATAATCATTTGAATAAAAATCATCATCCATAGGTATATTACTATCCAAAGAATCTATGATAGTCATTATTGTATAAATAAAAAATAATTAATAAGTAATGAATAGGTATTATGATTTATGAATAATTTGTGGCATCGATGTCTTCATACAGGCGACTAATGTTACCCCTGTATTAATATTTATAAGTAACTTATTAATACAATATATTCGTTTTATACATAAATACAAAGTTTTTGTAAATATCTTTTTTCCGATATTTTCTATATTCAGCAAACTTATAATACCTAATTATAAAATATTTTTCGGAATAGAAATATTCAAAATTAAATTAATTGGGAAAATAAAGAAAAATTTGAGTTGATTTTAAGTTAATATAAAGGCAAATGAGTTAAGTTAATTAAAACACTGAACTAATAAGTTATGTTAATACTTAATAAGTTAAAATTAACTTAACTTCTAACTTATTAACTCGTTAATGCCCAGCCTTTTTATGAACTAATAATATCTGTTGATCGCCAGGAGACGACTTATCGTGCCAAATATAATCAATGTTCACGATAATAGTTGTGTCAACAGTATTGAGATGGGTCAATGATGGTGGTAAATTTCGAGCGAGGGTATATTTCTTACATCGTCACAACGAGCTTCGATTCGGTATCAGACGACCGCGACGCCATGGACAATGGGTACGCAGTACGCACCACTGAAGCAGTTTCGAAAATCTCGATTGTTTAACGAGACGGAGATAGATATATTTTGTGAAGCGAACAAACACGCGCAGCAATGAAAAAAAAACACCTATTCGTTTGGGCCAGGAGCCGACACAGTGAAACTCTACATTTTAAAAATGAAAATGCGTAGAAGTTTGCGCGGGCATGACGCCGACCGGGGATGCGAGCACGAGGTGACGAGATGCGTCTGGTCGGGCCAAACGTCGAAACGGGTGAGGTACGAACGGGACCAGTCTCGGATGTTGGACTCCATCAAACACGCCGTAACTCGTGTTATGGCTTATAGCGCGCTTTTGTCGAACTCGTGTTAATACTTACACCTTTGTCAACGGCCATTTTGGTTTGTTGATTTGTTATGAGTGCGTTCAAAATGTGTTAAAGTCTTACGATGGCGACTCTGAAGTGTGAATTATGTGAGTTAATTTTCCTATGAAACATAAAACAACAATTAATACGGTTGTGATTTGCAAAAATGAATATTTTACAGTATTACAGTGTCACTCACACACTATGGACCGGAGTACCGGACGCCGATGAACACAGACAATACAGTCAAACAGACAACAAACGAATGCAAGCGAAGTACGATTTACAGAATGCCGCGGTTAACCCGCGTACTCTGTTGTATAAACAGTATGGATGGATCATTGTTGCCCCCGACGCGTCGCATTTTAGGTTGGTACCACCGTCGATGCGGCGTCAGTCCGGTTGTTGTCGTTGATAAATGAGTCGCAAAATGGTGGCATAGCATACCCATTATATGTAGAGATGGGTAAACAAGTGGGGGAAATTCGTATTCACATAACATTATTAGTCGCAACATGGCGGCGTAGCGTGCCCTACCGTCAGCATAAAACAAGGAAATTAAATATTTTATTATTAGGTTTTCCATCTATGCTTTTTTACTTTTTTAGTTAGGGAGTCATCACCCTGGCCGCCTGGCTACACTGACCACCACCTACTGCCTCTGCCAAGACCCGACAACCACCACCAGTCAAGAGTCACGACTCACGATTGGTCTAACTATGATATATCCACAAACTTTCTTTTTAACCGTTTTTTTTTAAAAAAAATTTTTTTGTTATTTAAAAAATATAAGTCTAAAGCCTAGGTTAAGTACAACTTATAAGTAGTCAAACCTCTTTCTGGTTAACATGACCACAATTTAAAAAACTTTAAAATTCAAAAATTCAAATTGTTATTCAAACCAATTTAAATAAAAACAAAATTATTAAAACGTATGTTGGTTTAATACTTTAATGTCTAACGCAGTTTGCTTGAAATATTTTAAAAATACAAATATATTTTACCATAACTTAATATTTTTATAGTAACAATACAATATGTTATTTAATTGTAATTTGTAAATTTGTAATCTTTGAATACATTGTAATATTTTTAGTCAGGATTTACACGTTTTGTAGATGTAGATGTATTCTTCTTTATGTTATTACATTTTTATTCCTCCTCTTAATATTTTTACATCATCAACAGGTCGATCATTTTTATCCGTTTCTACCATGCCCATTCTTTTGACAACATTCATTCCGGAATGAACACGACCTAATGAAAAAAAAAACAAAAGTTATAATGGAAATTTATTTAAGTTTGAGTTATTAATATTTTTAATGTGTAAGTTAATATACCAAATATTTGATTCTAAAGTTTTTTAAATAAAAAAAAAAAACTAGTTTTATGCAGATATTACATTATTCCACACCCCTTTAACTTTCTATGAGCATAGATGTAATAAATGTTCCATATAGTTGTGGGGAATTTGTGTATACTGTTCTATATTTTATTAATCAGTTCCAAAGGTATTATGAGTATTACAGTATAAAAAATAGATAGGCATGAGCATTTATTATAAATAGTATTATTCAGGGGCGTATTTATGGGGGTGGCTGGGTGGGCTGCAGCCCCCCCTGAAATTTCAAGAAAATCCAAAAAATATGAATGTCAATAAAACTTTATTTGTTGGGTAAAAAAGCTTGAAAATTTAATACAAGGCTCCTGCTATATTGTTACAATAGCAGTTGAAAAATATTAAAAATCCTTATTCATAGTTTTTTTATAAGCATTTAAAGTTCGAATCTTGACAAAATACTGAAAAATCACAAAACTTGAAATTTTGCTGAATGTTTTCATTTTTTATACACCAAAAAATTTGAAAATATTTTGCCTCTTTTTGAGCTATTTACGGACATTGACAGATTTCATTTTTCTTAGTTTTTTTTTCTATAAATATCAATAAAAATTTTTTGTTGGGTAAAAAAGGCGTGAAAATTTAACTCAAGGCTCCTGATATATAGTAACAATATTAGTTGAAAAATATTAAAAATACATAGGCACAATTTTTTCTTATAATCATTTAAAGTTCGAATTTTGACAAAATTTATCAAATTTAAAATGTAACAAATATTTTGTAATTAAAAATTTATAAAAAGTTCAACTTTCATAGTTAAGGATTGAAAATTTAAAACAATGGTCCACGTAAATAGGTAAATATATAAATTACTTTATTCACAATAATATCATCAAATATACTTAGTAATATCATAGGCTGACTGACCGTTTTCGCTTAGAATCGTTTTTCTTATACAATGATATTATATCATTGAATTCAAATTTTACACCATCCATTACAGTGACCCACTTGTAACCTACTGTACAGCAGAGCGACATCCACTTACCCACTTTATTGTTTTATTGTGTGACTATGTTGATAATTTTGTTCAGCCCCTCCCGAAATAAAATTCTGGATACGCGCCTGGTATTATTATTTATTTCTATTTATAGTCGATGGTACATATTATGGGGTATTTGTGCAAAAAGAAGTTGCTGTACAAAAATCAGTAAATGCAGACTAATGTGGATAGAACATAAATCAACATTATTTTTGTGTTATGTTAGACATTTGAAAATAGGTTTAAAAAACCCTCAAAGGATTATTAACTTAAATTTTAGATTCTGTAGGAGCATTAAGTGTATTGATTTTACTGTGATGTGGTTGTTTTTTTGGGGGGGGATTTTGTATGCTGAAAAGTAATAGAAAAATGTTTTAATTTTTAACTTTGAGTCTTTTCTGATAACAAATTGGATCTGATAGTACATTGAGAGATTAAAGTTGAAAATGCCCAGAGTATTTAAAAATAATAAGGAAAACAAAACAATTATATATTATACATATAACAGTGATGAGGACTACTGAACAACTGAGGCAGGTACTCCATAATACTATTTAGGTTAGGTACCCGCTGTTGTGCCTACCTATCTTATATCATGAATTTTACTAACAGATTTTACCAAACATTATTCTTAAAATATCTAATAAGTGAATTTCACACGAATACCTAACGTAAAGAATTTTTGTCGCACAGTATTTATATTTGATTAGTGTGTGTAACTATAGCCATATAAGAACTATTTGGTTATTGTGAATAAGTAATTATTTGTAGTTTTTGAAGAGAATACTTCTTATGTGATTCTGGACCAGTTTAACACTTAGCGTTAAACACCTTCACTCCTACATACTACCAACTTCCTACTCTTATTATGTTCCCCACATCTCTTAACACGTTGAGCGCTGATGTTGACGTGTCGTTTTATATACTAATCTATGGTCGACATATCATATTTATTTTATTCTCTACAGCAAACATCGAAAACTTGTTAAATGAATTGAAAAATGAAATTATAAAATTATAATTATAGCATTAAACTTTTTAGAGCATTTTTTTGAGGTTTATAGAACATTTCTAAGGTTTGAAATCATTTTTCATAATTTTTATGAGAATAAATAAATAAACATTTCCCAATAAAAACGTATGTGTCAGTACGCCAGAAGTGAATACCGGAATATGGTAGCGGTGGAATTTGTTCAATTGATCGATAAAATACAATTTTACATATTATATTAATATATATTTTGATGTGCAGTAACAACATTGTTACCGTATACCATACTAAGTCGTATTTTACGTACAAATACGGTAATCACCGTACACCCGATTTTTGTAGCAGAAACTGCTAACTACCGGAGCCCACCTTCTTACCAAGGGGCGGACTGTGGCAATTATTCGGCCCGGGAAATCTATATATTTGTCATCACAAAATATGAAAACTTAATTATGGTACTAATGTTTTGACAAATGAAGGTTGCATCCTCTACTCGTCTTCAATTTTCTCAGGAAACAACTTAAGATTTAATGTATATGTAGTAGGTATAATGATTGCTCTAATGTTCATCAGATTATAATGTAGAGCATAAGTACAGAGTATAATGTATTATATATTTTCTATTATTCTGTAACTGAGTGACAATGGATGAAAACAGAAAAACATAGGTTGACGTTCAACATGGCTTTTTAAACTGCTCTAACTTGATTTTTCTAAGCCTTTCCGTTTTCCAGTTAGACGTGGATATATTATATTTATTTATAGGTATAGTAATCGTCAGATTAAATTATGAATAGTGTGTATTTAAGTGAAATAACAAACAAGAAAATTGCTTTAAAGTAATAGGTTTTAATACACTAATATTACAAAGCTAATAAAATACCCAAAAAAATTAAGTCAATTTAAATGAATAAAAAATAAAATTTAGATAAGTATATTCGTTATATTTTATGTTTCATTATAGCACTGGTTAATCAGACGCTATTTAATATTTTCAAAAAAAAAACTTCAACAGTTATTGGCATATTATATTGTTTTGTATAACTGAACTCATATAGGAGCGAACCTAATAAGTAATAAAAATAGAAATATTAGAAAAAAATTATATTTAATTTTGTTATAAATATTTTATATTATACCTTTATATATAATATATTATATTGTATTATATTTTATATTATTATATTTTTTTTTTTAATCAATGAATTTATTTTATTAACTTATAAAGTTTATTTATTTATTCAATGTACGAAAAATTATTTCAAACCATAAAAATGTACGAAAAACGCAAAAAAAATGCTCTAAAAAGTTAAATGCTAAATAAAAAGTTCATTTTTCAATTCGATGATGTATGAAACAATTTTTTTGCTTGGGAAATAATGTTTTATAAAATTCAGAAATCCACACCCTAGTTATGAATAATAATTTCAGATAATGAATTGATGCCGAAGGGGGTAGACAATCAGCTGAACCGAAATCTAAAACCTTAAACACCTATATAAACAATTGTACACACTTGTGCGTTATGATACAAAAATACAAAATATTTATATCAATTTTATTATAAATATATAACAATAACAAATTATATGAGCAGTGGCCCACAGGGAAAATTCCTGATATCCTAGTCCGCCCCTGAACTTGTCAAAGCCACAGAATATAATATATAATACAGAGAACCAGACGCGAGGTACAGGAAGCACTGTGCGCCCCTCTAATTTCGTTTACCTATTCCACGCTACACTAACAATATTCAAAAACAAATATATGATTTTTTTTTTCTACATAGATCGAATCAAAGTTAAATATTCATTTAAGTATTCACTTCGGCCGTGTGTACTGTCAACTAGTATTAGTGTATATATTTACCAAATATTGTATGTTTTTTATCAAGCCACTGAGTTGGAGCTAATGTAATAAAAAATTGTGAACCATTTGTATTAGGTCCTGAGTTAGCCATAGACACAATACCTGCTCCTAAAATAATATAATAATACATTAAATATTAATAGAACTGTGAAATTCAAAATGTATAATATTGAACAATATTCGTTTAAATATAAAATGTATAATTTATTTAACCTGTATGTCTAAGATCATCATGAATTTCGTCGTCGAAATGAGTACCATAAATTGATGTACCCCCTCTGCCAGTGCTAGTTGGATCACCACCTAAAATAAACAATAGTTATATCATAATTTTATTTTATTTACACTCAGTTTAATACTATAATACGAGAAAGAATGATTGCAGAAATTAGTATTTACCATACAAGCACTAAGTTAGATATAAATAACTAATAAGACATTATGACTACAGTCTGTATGCCACATCCAGCTGAATTGTCTTCTAATATTGACCAAAGTATTGTAAGTTATAGTGTATGTAGACTATAGTAGATAGTCATTAAAAAAGTCATAGAATTATTGAAGTATTTAGCATATAGATACATCTCTATATTACAAATATTTCAAAATCAGTTTAAATTTTATTGATAGGTGATAAGCAGGTGGTAAAATAATAGCTTTAGTATAGGTATATAATTATATTTTAATGCCCTAAGACTGTATCAAAATTCTAAGCTTTAAATATATTACTGTCACAATTTACTTCAGTACCACTGATCACTATTGGCTCACAGTTTTCACATCCAAAAACAATGCGAGTAACATATTAATTACTTATGACAATAATGTTGGACAATTTCTTTTAAAATCATTATTGTCAGTTAAACCTCGTAAGATAAAAGAAGGTGGTGGTAGAGTCGTTTTAATACAAATAATAACAATTTTTAATTTTAAACAAATGGAATTACAAAATAGTACCTATATAAATAAAAATGAATGTAATTTTAAACCCGTATTATGCTTTGCCTGGGGCTTACATTTATCTTACTTAAATTAAGATAAAATATTAAAAAATTATACGTCTTGATCTATTTAAAATTTTAATATACATTAAACTCTTACCTTGAATCATAAAATTGCGAATAATTCTATGACATTTTGTATTATTATAATAACCACGTCTACAAAGTTCTGCAAAATTACGGCAAGTCTCTGGAGCGTGATCCCAGTATAGTTCAATTGTTATTTGACCCATCCTAAAGTTAACAGAGTAAGTAAAAATTCATATGTTTGTATTGGGAGATTCTTACGTAGTCTCAATAATTCCAAATTGTGGTTTCCATGATTTGTCCGGGATACCCCCAGAGCCGTGGATCATAACTGAATCTTTCATTTTTATTATTTTATTAAATCTTATCAGTGAACGATTTATTCAATAATAATCTACTTGCTCAGAAATCTGTTATTCAGCGATGATTAAAACGTTTTTTTTTTTCAGTTTCTGCAATGATATATTTAAATTATTAAATAGGTTTCTGCATTATAAATAAAGATAAAAAATAACACTGAGATACTTTCTCACTCTTTTAAGCTAAAAAAACAAAACAAGAGTAATAATGCTCTTAAGAATTGTTATTTATATTAGGTAGATAACAACATTATACAAATTCGCTAGATTAAACCAGTGTGAAAAATAACATGATGGATGTTTGGACCATATCATTTACATAGTTCGTTATTCTGGTGTGGGATAATTTTAAACCGGTCTAGTTTAGCAAATTTATCTAACGATAACAAGTAACAACTAACAAGTTATAATAACACCATATAAATTTAAATATATTTCCACGGTTGTGATGAATTAAAAAGGTAATTCAAAAATAAAATTATGCACCTACCTATAATTTATTTTGTAAGTCTATCGGCTATTGTAGATTTGTAGACTATAACAAATAACAATTGTCAATCAATATTCTGTATTCTGTGATCCTATGACTTCTTATCATTATAATAATTATTTAATATTTATATCTAATGATTAATGACTATACTTCTTATCAATGTTTTTGCGAGTCCGCCCACTTCTCACTATTTGACACTTTTCATCACGCATTCACGCGCATAGATAATATACCTAATTATAATTCTTATATTAATATATTATCTATGTTCACCGTTCACGCGTAGTCCGCGCTTGAATCCGATTTTGTCGGGGCCACGGACTAATATATATCTAGATATCTAGGTGACTAGGTATATCTTAGTCCGTGGTTGGGGTATTCGGCCCCGATGAATTTATTGCGCATGCGACAGGAATGAAAAAGATGGTGCGGGACCACTGAACTATATATAACAATAACTATATAGTTCTATGTGCTAATGTGCGGGACGGGGTAACATAATTTCGGTAATATTTTGCGCATGGCGCATGCTCAGTGGTGACTGGTGACATCGGGGTCGAACGGGCCAACCAACTCGGCTACAAGATTTTTAATCATAGCTTAAATACAGTGTGTATTATCAAAGGCACGGTCTTTGAAGATATATATTATAAATTTATATAAGATATATTTAAGAATTAAGATATATTTTATCTTCTAAGACCGTGATCTAAGGTTTGTAATGTCAAGACAGTGTCAACTAGCGTTTTAAAGGATTAAAACGTTCCATGTTCATTGGAAGAATAATAAACTATTATTTAAATAATTATTCTCTCGATCAAGGGTAATACAGAACAACTAACAAGTAATACTCTGACACAGAACATTAGAACAATCCTATAAAGTGATAGCAGTTGTCATGCCAAACCATATAGATAATAAAGCCACCGGAAAAAAAACAAATCAAATAAATAAATGTATAAAAAGAATTATAATATTTATTTTTATATTTCCGTAATATTGAAATATTTATTATAAATTAATTATATAAATACTTTCACATATTTTGTGATATATTGTTTCTTTTATTGTTATAAATTATAAGTTATTACACTATAATATTAATTTATAATTTTTCCTGTCGTTTTATTTTTTGTTAAGATTTTTTTTCCACCCACACCTCAAGAAAGAAGTTTTACTTCAAAAATCACCCTAGGTACAAAGTATATAATTATTCATATCCAGGTGACTATATAGGCCACTATAGGCGTACCTACCTAAGATATAAATCAATTGATTTCAAGATAATATGTAATTTTAAATTTATCCAAAAAATCCCATGTTATTTTTGTTCAATTTATGACATGTTTATTTTGCCGAAAGAAATTCCCTTAAAACTTTTTGGAGTTAAGATAGAACTGTTTTATAAACTTCTTTCAGTCTGACATATCTATCTCTGATCTCTCCTGCACTCTCCAGACTCCAGAGTTAGGATTTGTCTTATTTTTCACTGTTTTTAGTAATATTGAAACAATGGAAATAATCAATTCTAATAAAAATAATAATATATAATATTTATATTATGTTTTGAGGGTCATGTGTAATCTTACATATTTTTTTATATATTTATATATCTATATATTTATTTATTTATCTTTTTTTCCGAGGCTTATTTTTCCGGTGGCTTTTTTTCTGACTACCATTGTGTACATTTATAACATTGAATAATACATTTTACTAATAATGACTGACGTATACCTTACCTTTACCTATATGGTATTATATTTTGAAAGCCTTTTAGAACATGTAGTTCGACTCTGTACTTCGATAAAAATGGACAATGTTAGAGTTCATTATTAAGTATTAATAAATAAAACCACGTGCATAAGTAACTCGTAAAACATTCAAATATACGCATCTATAACTGGTACCTACACCTACCTATAGATGCAGTTATATAGGTACAGTAGGACGTCGAAATTGTAACTAAATACAATTTTCAGTGTATTCCCAGTTCCGTATGACTCTAATACTCATATAGGCGTAAATAGACAAATTATTTTGGGGGGACTAAAGCTCCTCCTATAATATTTTCTAAAAATTATATATGGTGCTCAGTACTAATTACTGACTTTTGAACTGGGGGGACTTGGCAGAAATATGGGGGAACTAAGTCCCCCCAAGCCCCCACCTATTTGCGCCAATGCTAATACTCTATATATAGGTAATTAATTTTATCTTATCGTATGAATTGGGTTATGAAAGTTTATGTATAGGACAGTCTCAAATGTATCGTAGATACCTATATCGTGTATACCTACCTATATATATGTTTATCGATTGGGTGAAACGTGAAAGTCTAATATAGGTATAAATGGTATAATTATAATTTATAAGTTTTTTCAATTTCAGGAATACGGGTAAATCACCTTTTTTAGTAAATCGCGTGTCGTACATCACTAAATTACTAAAAAAAAAAACCCTTTTTTCCATATTTTTATCCCGGTTCATTCGAAAACTACTATCAAATGGGATTTTAATTGAAATAATTCAGAGCGAAAACGGTCAGTCAGACCGTTACCAAGTATTACTAATATTACCAAGTATATATTAGATGATATTATTGTGAATAAAGTAATTTATATAATATAACCTAGTTACGTGGAATATATAGTTTTAAATTTTCAATCCTTAGCTATAAAAGTTGAACATTTTATAAATTTTTTTACACAACAAATAAAATTTTATTGATATTTATAGAAAAAAAACTAAAAAAATTGAAAACCGACAATGTCCGTAAACAGCCCAAAAAGAGTCAAATTATTTTCAATTATCGTGTATAGAAAATTCTAATATAAACATTCAGTCAAAATGTAATGTACCTACGGTCATTTGTTTTAGAGTTGCATCAGAAACCAAGATTTTGCTTAAAAATTCCCGTTTTCCCTTAATTTTTTTATGTTTTTCACGTCGCTTTTGAAAACTACTGAGAAATTTTTACTTTTGACCCCCCAAAGTACCAACTAGATTCACTATCCTATTAGAAAAGATACTGTTGAAGAAAATCCAAGCATTTGAATTGGATAACCCTATAACCAACCGAATAACCCTTCATGCAGGAATTGGGCAGAACAGGGTTGATATTGAAGAATAGTAACAGAGTCTTGTTCAGTATTCAGTTACACGTCTTGCTTTATTAATACATTGTTCCACAGTGAATCAATGTCGATGTCATCGGAGACTATTCTTCTGGAAAAATTGGGGTACTGGAGTATTCAGACTTGTCAGCCGATATTGATCCTGATGGTGACTCGCAAGAAGCTGTAACAGAACGTATTCGACGATGGTCGCTACTATCGGCTTTGGGGACGCGATTCCTTAAATTAAGACTCTTTAAGACCGCTATATAAGACCACCATGACTGACTTGACATTTTGTAAACATTGTCAACATTAGGTTCCGTATATTGTCGTACATAGTGCTAAAGCCTAAATATAGGTGTCTTGGTTTTAGTGTACCTACCTCAATTCACTTGCAAATCAGGGTCTGTGTTCCTTCCTTTCAGCTTTGTGAAATAATTCGACCAGATGGGCAACCACAAATCGCGAATCACTTTTAGCACTTTCAACTTGGTAGTTGGTATATTATTTTACGTAGTCCAAATTCAACTCTCTAAACTTGTTTAATATTTCTAGGAACAATCCATGAATACTAGACACCAAGAATATTTTAGTCTTCATGGAACAATATATGTCAATCTATGACATTTTCGTACAAATCAGTAGAGTAATAAAATTATTGAGTTTATGTACCTTGCACCTTGATTTAAAGGGTGTACGGTGAATCTAAATGTTTTTCATTATTATATACATACCTACCCTAATGTATTTTTTTTATATTCAATTAAATGAAGGTACAAATATTATGTATGTATTTATATAAAAAATAAATTTCATATCATTTTTAATTGTAAGTTTAATTTGTTACATTATTTTATCACTTTCAACATTTTTAAACATAGATGATATCTAAGATGAAAAAGAAAAAATAATTTTAACCATACCCGTAAACAGAATTGTGCAAAATTGTATCTATAATAAATTATTAATAAAATATTATTCGAATGATTTTTAGATTCTGAGTGGAACGATAAATGTATTGATTTTACAATGATGTGTGTTTTTTATTTATTTATTTTTTTTAAATTTTTTTTTGTGTCTGTCATCACGATAAGTAGTCGAAATAATGCTTCGATTTTCAACTTCAGTATCTTATTCGATTGGAAAGTGAATCTAGTTGCTGCATTTGGGAGGTCAAATTTTAAAATTTCCAATAGTTTTCACAAGCGCCGGGATTAAACACATAAAAATTAAGGAATAACGGGAATTTTTAAGCAAAATCTGTTTTCCAAAAAATCGATTTTGGTTTTTGGTGTAACTCTAAAAAAAAATGACCGTAGGTACATGAAAATTTGACTGAATGTTTATATTAGCATTTTCTATACACGATAACATTTTCAAAATATTTTGATTTATTTTGAACTGTTTAGGCACATTTACATTTTCCATTGTTTTTAGTTTTTTTTTCAAAAATAGCAATACAATTTTATTTGTTGGTTAAAAAAAGCGTTAATTTAATACAAGGCTTCTAATATATTGTTACAATGGAATTTGAAAAATATTAAAAATCCTTAGTCAGAGTTTTTTTTTATAAGCATTTATCGAAAGTTCAAAAATTGACAAAATATGGAAAAATCACGAAAATTAGCAAATTATTTTGAGTTAAGAATACGTAAAAATTTTTGAATCTAAGATTTTAAAATGTAATACAAGATTCCTTATAAGATTATCTACATTTACCAAACAAAAAAAAATGTCTATAAGAAAGTCAAATTAAATTTTTATGAGCGTTGGAAATTCAAATGTTTACAACATTGGATATTCACTCGATTTCTCATGTAGCGATTTCCTTAATTTGTTGTAATTCAAAAACGAATAACTGTAGATACATGACAATTTCACTGAATATTTATATTAGCATTTCCTATACACCATACAATTTTAAAAATATTTTGACTCCTTTTGAGCTGTTTACGGACAGTTTCAGTTTTCAATTTTTTTTAGTTTTTTTTTCTATAAATATCAATAAAGTTTATCTGTTGGGCCAAAAAGTGTAAAAATTTAATACAAGGCTCCTGGTATATTGTTACAATATCAGTTGAAAAATATTAAATATACATAGGCACAATTTTTTTCATAAGCATTTAAAGATCGAATTTTGACAAAATTACATATAAAAAAACCTAGAGTAATTATTTTAGTTATTTTGTTGTGATTGTATAATATTCGTGGCCTCGTGGGTAGGTACTTGAAACTTCTAAAGTACACTATTTTATATCTATGGAGTATGGACTATGATAGTATCAGTGTTTTGTTGTTGATGTATAACGCATTATAAGTACCTAATGGATATTGTGATATGATAATTTGGAATTTATTATAGGTACAATTTTTTTTTTAATACCATAGATTAGTATATAATATGTCTTATACCTAGACTGACATACCGTCTCCGCTCAGAATCGTTTTACGTTTACAATGATATTATATCATTGAATTCAAATTTAATACTATACATTATACAGTGACCCACTTATAATCTACTGTACAGCATAGCGCCTTTTTTACAATTATTCGATAAAAAAATTATTATTGAAAATGTTATTGGTATTATCCGGATATAAGTCAGTGGTATTATCCATGATACTATTTTAAATCATAGAACAATAAATCGTGGTTGCACAGTTTTCTAACAGTTCTAGATGAAATACCTGCAGATCACGAACTAAGATATACTATATAGTATATCCAAATACTATAGATTAGAATACGGGAAGCTCTGTAGAAACCTGCTGCAGCGGTATTCTGTAACTCGATAAGCCGTTATCGACAAACGTCGTTAATGAGCGCTTATCGAATTTCACTTTATGTAACGAACTTCCATAACGAAAGTGCGATTCCGTATTATCAATTATTCCTAATTTTTCGATACAAAAATTATTTTTTTGTTACCGACAATTTCGTTATTCTTATCGAATAACCCAAAGAGATTTATAAAATGAACCAATCAAAAACTATCTTGCTGATAACCAAATTGTATTATCACAAAATGTAATATAGTTCTATTATTATAATTTTTATTGTTTTGCTGTAAATCGTAATTTCTTTTTGTAAATTGTAAATATTGTAATACAGATGCGTTTGGCTGAAATTAGTAATTACTAAATATTAATTAGTATTAATCTGCACTACACAATACTAATATGATGAACGAAAGGTAAGAGAGTATTATTAGTTACCTAGTTAAAATGTATAAAGTTACATATATTACTCAATTAAATAACATTTACTGTTACCTAATATAGTAAGTTGATTTGTACAGTAATACAGTTTCCATAATATTATACACCTAATTATTTAATTTAATATTCATCGATTCATCTCTTTTTAATTAAACATACTACCTAGCATACAAACCTTATACATATCTAAGATTAATAAAATTATGACTTATGACTTAAATGTTTATACTTTATAGGTCCTATTTAATTCTTACAAATTATGTGGTCTATACATTTTGGATGGATGTATTATCATATGTACTTGTGTGTTATTCTAATCTAGCCATGTATTATTGATGTTATTAAATAAACCTACAAAAATTGTTATAATTTTTTTTTTACCAGTATGTCTAGTGGACCTCCTACTAAAAAAAAGAGACAAGGTCGTAGGAACAATAATCAAATAGAGTACCTAGTAGACTATTTGATTCAACACCCGAATGTAGCTACAGGGAAATTCATGAAAATGAATGCAAGAGACGCACTCCAAGGATCTTGGGAAGAACTCGTTAGACAATTGAATGAGATGCGAAGTAATGGGCAGTCTGAAAAAAATGTTAAATCATGGAAAGAGGTTGGTACAATGTATCAGGTACATAGATGTCCACAAGATTTTGTGTTAGGTACAGCACACTTTTTAAACAGTACTTTAAATGAAACTATACAAACTCTTCACGAGGAAGATCAAAAGGATCTTGTGTATCTCTCAAAACCCTTCTTTCGATTCGCCGTTCTTGTACTCTAACCCTTTCTTCCAACAGCATCAATTCCCACATTAAAAATTCTAGAGCCATGACGTGTATCTTAGAGAACGAGTTAGTAATAATTATTACTTCCAAAATCGCAAGATTAAAATTTGAAAATTGTATTATAGATACGAATGCACGATAACAGCTCAATGACAACACGAAATATTACGTTTTTTCCTCTTATCCATCCCCGGTAAGTATTATCGAGGGGTCTTGATGGGTGTATTAGGTTAACGATATTTTATTTTCACTATCGACAGTTTTAACGAAAATAGTTGTTAGGTTAACGAATATCTGTAGTACAGAATCGCTTTTATCGATAATATTCGTTGAGAGAATTTTCGTTAGCGTAACGAATCAAAAGTTGTCGTTAAGCTAGCTTATCGAGTTACAGAATACCGCTGCTGGCGTCATAGCGCTCCAAAATATATGTGATTGCCTATTCAGCCCCTTTCTCCTTATCACTTTTATGTACTCGTTAACTAATACAAATAATTTGGCGCCATAAATCAACAATATAAAATAGGTATTAGAATATAGATTACTATTATATTATAATGAGTACAATATTGAATGTACATTGGTACATATTTTGTTATATGCAAAATACTGAAACAATAATTATTAAATTTAAATAACATAATATAATATCAATGATATCAGTATTACGATAGTTGATTATTTTTCTATACCTTACAAAATTACTCTAATAAAGTAATAATTATTACACTATAAGGTATAATTTATTTAAATACAACAGAAACATTATATAGAATGAGTAATATGATATTATAGCTGATAGTGTTAACCTTTTTTACCCAAAATAATTTTATCCCTATATTTATATTGTTGCTATTAATTATGAAGATACTAGTAAGGACTTTTCTTTATTGAATTTATACAATATTATGTTTATTGATTTCTTATTTTCCAATTTTCCGTGTCAGTTGATGTTAGATTAAGAAAAAAAAATAACATTATTGTACCCAAGAAAGTAAATTTTAAGAATCTGTAGGTGGATAGATCTCATTATTTTAAGAGTGTCAATTCTTTTAAATACATATTCCTGTCTTTTCAATAACGTTATACTAAGCATACTACTAGCATACTAACAGAATATTTTATTTGACAATGTTTAGATTATCGCTTACGTGTCCATCATAATCCTCAATTATGTGACCAGGAAACTAAGAGATTAAGATTAAAAATTAGAACAATGCAAAAGTTAATAAACAAAAAGAATACTAGGATACAGTTATTAAAAAAAAAGAATCTTAACAAATTACAAATGAATAAAAATTTATTTCAAACTACAGTGAACAATAATTTTATTTAAAAAAACCAGTTAAAACTAGCTAATATAAACAAATATGGTCGTAGATATAAGGAAAATCAAAAATCATTTGCACTTGCATTATATTATAACTCCCCTAAGGCATATAATTTCATGCGCAAGTATTTATGTTTTCCAACAGTGAGATCACTTAGAAATTGGCTACAATCAATAGATGTTTCTTGTGGGGTAAACTCAAATGTTCTTGATGTTTTAAAAATAAAGTTTAAGGATGTTCCACCGAGTGAAAAGCTAATATTATCAATTATAATGGATGAGATGTCACTAAAAAAATTGATTTCTTATAACTCTCAAAATGATCAATTTAGTGGTTACGAAGACTTTGGTCCAGATCATGAGTTTGTTGATATGACAATGAATCGCATCTGTGACCAAGTATTAGTTGTTATGATTAAAGGTATAGTTAAACCTTGGAAACAAATACTTGAATATTTTTTTTCTAAAGGACCAGTATCTAAAAATACAATTTTAGTTATGACAATGATTTTTGTAGTTGGTCAGATTTAGAAGATTTTTATAATTTAGACAAAAATAAAAAGCCAAGGTTAGCTCCTCGATTAAATAAAATTCACATGGATCTACCACCATTCTCACCAATGCGTGTTTGTTTGGCAACCCAAACATTAAGCCATTCTGTTAGTTCTGATATGATGACTTTAATTTCACTGAATGAAATGAGAAGTTCAGCTATACATACAGCAAGATTTATAGAATTCTTTGATAATTTATTTGATGTTTTTAACAGTATAACACACAGTGAGGCAAAAACATTAAGAAAGCCATTAACTAAAACTTCTGATCATTGGAAATTTTTGAATGAAGCAGAACAGGTATTAGGAAAACTTAAAGTTCACAATAAAACTGGTAAATTACCACCGTGTATAGTAGGTTGGAAAGAAAATATTATTGCCTTGAAATTGTTATTTAACAAACTAGATGAAAAATACAAAATAGATTTCTTATTAACAAGAAGACTAACACAAGACAGTGTAGAAAATGTGTTCTCAGTAGTAAGGTTAGTAAGTAATTTTTAGTTAGTATAATCAATATTTTGTGATAATTATATAATTATTTTTCCACAACTATCGATATCATTAAAATGTTTAAAACTTAAGACCTGTATAACCGTGTAGAACTGTACCAAATTATTGTAAAAACAATAAGCTAACCATCAAGTATTACCTACTCTATGAAATAAACCTTGTTTTAGTAATCCTGTCTCCTGTGTCCATAATCCATACAGCCATACACTTGATACAGGTAATGATGTATTGCACGTTTTATTATAAACTATTTATATATTTTAATACTAACAACACTATAATATTAAGTTCCTAAAGGCTAATGGACTATTGAACTTAATTTAAAAATTAGAAAAAAGCTAAGTAGTTGTTCTTTTGTATTTGTTATAACTTATCAGTTATTCAGTTATCACTTATCAGTGTCTAAAAAATAAAAATAAAGGGGTTTATATAGGCAACCTACTATAATATGGAGCGCTACAGTGTCCCCTAGAAAATCTAAGAGCTTCCCGTATTCTAATCTATAGTATTTGGTATATCTTAGTTCGTGCACAGAATAACCAGAAGGTGCACTTAATGAGAACTCGAAAATCCGTGAAAAATGTTTGAGATATCAGTGTTGCCAGGTTTCGAAAATAATTACAAATTCTCTTTTGCTGCTGAAACTGAGTGGGCGCATTTTTAATGTTATCATTGTAAATATTTTATTTTTCAGTGATAAGTTATTGATATATGACATTGTTGATTGTTATTAATTGTTTCATGTTTGTTCGTTGAATCTGTGTTTGAAATTTCCGTTTCACATTGCTCAATTTGTTTTTTGTTCCGAGTTGTGTTTAACATTTTTAGTTTTTTTAATTGTAAACTACTACTAATTGTAAAACTGCAATGTATTCGGGTGGCCATTCCTGTTGTTTGGCGAATTGCAGCAGTATTGTCTTTGGAAAAAAACAAATTGAAACGAGCTTTCATAGATTTCCAAAGGATCAAGCAAGGTAAGAAATACCAAAAATGTACCAACCTATTTCTTGTAACTTCATTGTATTTGTATGTCCATCAAATTCATTGATGTTTATTTTCTATCATGCATTACAAATAATTGTTTTGGTACCCTCTACTAATAGTTTTAATTATTATAGATGTGCTGTCTGGATTGAAAAGTGTAAACCAATTAATTTACCAACTATTGACCCTGATATTCTGAATAGGAACCACAGATTGTGTTCACTTCATTTTGAAAATGAAATGTACGTAAATGTTGAAAAAACCAGATTATTTAATACAGCAATACCAACATTATTTAAAAGTAAGTCAATTAAATAAGGGGTAAATAAATCTTTATTTGTATTGTAAAACAATATTTTGTTCTTTTAGATGATTGTGTCGTTACAGAAGAAACATCAGATCATGTTGATGTTCCATCTGAATTTTTGGAAGATAACATCCAAACTGAAAATGTTATAATTGACAACCCGCCTAAATGTTCAACTCCTGGTATGTTGATTATATATAGATTTTATTGCTAGATATGATAACTTTTAGTTCCTTTATTAACTTATTATTTTAATCCACTATAATTTTATTTTTAGTGTCATCTACTCTTAATACTACATCAGTTTCGAGTTGTACATCAGTAGAATCGTTTTCCATAAGTATTCAAACTCCGAACTCATTATCTGCCAAAACTCCAAGGAAACGAGTACTTCAGGAACGACTTTCCAATGCTTTGTGTTCAATCAAGGAACTAGAACAACAACTAGAGCAGACTACAACAGTTGAACATTGTATCAAAATGTGTAAACAATATTTATCGCCATCAGTCTACCTTCTAGTTAAAAATAATATTGTAAACAAAGATAGGTCAAAAAGTGGACAACGGTATTCTAAACAAATTAAACAATTTGCTTTAACTGTATATTTTCTAAGCCCTATGGTATTTAATTTTCTTCAAAAATCTTTTTCTCTTCCTTCTATTTGCACTTTAAAAAGAGTAACTTCACAATACGATTTAAAACCTGGCTTAAATGATTTCCTATTTCACTTTTTAGAATTTAAAATGAGTAGTTTTCATCCTGATGCTTTGGACTGTTTTTTAAGCGCTGATGAGATGTCAATAAAACAAAATTTATTTTATAACGTTAGCAAAGATGAAATAATTGGTTTTAATCAATCAAATTCTTTTCGAACATATGAACCTGCAAAATACGCTCTTGTCCTTATGCTTAGAGGAATCAAATATAACTGGAAACAACCTATTGCCTATTACCTTGTTTCGAATAGCTGTTCTGGGCCAGATCTTAATTCAATTATTTTTTCAACGATTCGCCGATTACGAAATATAAATCTTAATGTTAAATGCTTCATTACTGATCAAGGGTCAAATTTCATTCGCTTTTCAAATACTAATAATGTTTCTCCAAAGGAACCATTTTTTGAAGTTGATGGACAGCCTGTTATATATATGTTTGATCCCCCTCACCTACTTAAATCGACACGTAACATGTTTTTTAAACATTTGTTGAAAATTAATGAAGATTTAGTAGACAAAAAACATTTAGATATTTTTTACAATTATGATAGTAAATGCAACCTCCGTATGGCACCTAAATTAACATATTTACATATTCATCCCGGTCCTTTCGATAAAATGAAAGTTAGGTTAGCAGCTCAAGTTTTTAGTGCTACTGTTGCAGCTGGTATGTCCACAGCATTAAATGGTAATTTGTTACCCATAGATTGTCAAAAAACAATACATTTTATAAATGACATGGATAAATTGTTTGACATATTTAATTCTAGAGAAACTCCTAATGGTAAAATTTTTAATAGGCCCTTTAATAATGAATCACCTCAGTTGGATCATCTAATAAAAATGACTGAAATGTTTAAAAACCTTAAAGTTATAAACAAAACAAATGATACTGATGTTACTAATAGGATAAATTTTATTAATGGTTGGTTAGTCTCTATTAGTGCACTGCAAATGCTATGGAAATCTTTAAATTCTGACCCAAACCAACCATATGCTATTTCTACAGGCCGTGTGAATCAAGATGGTATTGAGAATTTAATTGGGGTGTTTAGACAGCAACACGGTAACAGTACAAATCCTACACCTGTCCAATTTATTCAATCTTTTAAAAAAATATTTTGCCTTCAGTATTTTAAACATTCCCCAGGAGCTAACTGTCTAGAAGACTTCGATCAAATACTTACTCATGTCAGCGAACAACCAAGTTCTAATAAAATAAACCAGTTATTTGCTGCAGAAGAACAAAATCATCTTTTTAATTTTAAATCAATTAAAATTGGTACTGTTGACTACAGGAAATTAAACATTCCGGAGAGAAATGCTTACACATATGTGTGTGGATACTTTATGAAGAAATGTCTGGAGAAACATGTATGCCAGGTTTGTATTGAGTATGCAAATCATCAAAAAACATTGGATCAGTCCTTTCTCTTAGCTTTCTTCAAATCTTATTCTGCAAATGACTCTACCAATTTTGGTAAGCTATTTATGCCGCACGATGAATTCTATAATTATGTTATTAAATTAGAAGATATTTTTGTTGATAACTTTTCTTCTATTGCAATTAATGATAATATCGGGTCCACAATGAAAGATCTACTTTGTAATGTACGTTTTAGTCATCCTTGTGAATTATTTAACAAACAATTTTTAATGGATTTATTTATACGTTTTAGAATTTTTACTGCAATTAGATTTTTAAATAGGTCTATGATGTCTGAAACAAAACGAAAAAATAGAAAACTATCTATTTTGAAACATTTGTAAATAATTATTAGATATTGTAAGAGATTATTACAAGATATTGTATTTTTAGTATTATGTATTAAAAAAAATTTTAATTAACATTGTGAACCTTCGACATACACATTTTGTAATTAATGATTTACTATGACAAAATAAATTATATTTATGTGACTATTAACAGTTAATGTGTTTTACTACTTAAAAGTTAAAGTTCAACTTTTTTTAGCTTAACTTAAAGTTCAACTTTTTTTTTTAATTTAACTGAAAAAATTGTTAATTATTAATATACAATAAAATGATATACAATATTTATTGTATCAATAAGTTTAATACGGGCTACAGATTATTCTGTGGTTGTACAATTTTTTATTATCTCTATACCGGCTACACTGATATCTCACAGGTGTTGCAAATCTATCCCCCATAAGAACCCGTGTAAATCAAAAAAAGGGCACCTTCTGGTTATTCTGTGGTTCGTGCTGCAGATTGATAACTCATATCACACGACATTTTGTTATCAAATATCATTTATCAAACAATTAAGTTTTTTATTTTTTATACGGTTAGTGAATATTACTACATTAGATATTGGATAAATAAACATTATAAAAATTAATTCAAAACTTTCATCATAGGTTTTAATTTTGGGGATCATGTCTCTTAATTTGTACACTAATAACGTGTGTTTATTGGGCATTAAAAACATATTCAAGTTTAAATTACATTCAAAATTTATACATAGGTCTGTTGCAGCTAGAAAAATCACACCTCAAGAAGTATATTTTTTTTCTAATTTTAGAATTCCTACTATCCTGTTACTTTAATTATATATATATATAATTGACAATTGTAGGTGACGGCGATTTTAAGCTCTAAAGAACATATTTATGAATTTGAACAGAATTTGGGATCTGTTAAAGCATATGAAACAAATCAACTGGAATCAAATGCTCCAATTGAAGATACCCGCGCTGAAGCAAAATGTCTTTTAACATCTGGTTGGTATGTTTAATATATCGTTTATAAGTTTCAAGTTTTTAGCTTCATTCATAATTATTGGTGTCAGAAATTTTAAAACAAGGTTTAGTGGCCTGCTATAAATTATTTATTTTTAAAACCAGGTTTTAAGCTTGGATTTATAACAACCAAATTATTTTATACAAACTTCTTATAAGAATACCTATGATTATAATTTATAATAAGAGGTAACATCTATACCGGAACTCATAGTTGTGCGCGCAGACTGAGCCGCTGAACAGTACCTGACCCTCTATGCGATGGCTATGTGTTCTGTGATTGGCAGACAGTCATTGGATGCCCGTGTTAAAACTCTCACCAATGTTCAGATTGTGGTAGGAATGCGTGGAAAAAACGTGTTTTCGTCAGCCGAGTGGTTCACTCTTAGATGGAACAGAGTATAGTTTTGGACCTCGGCGACACTTCACCCCTCATTGGGGGGGCAATATCTCCCCTGTCGAGACCCACTGATTTAGAGATAAATACATCTTCACATATTTCATTCTGCATTCAGGTATATTTCAACTAATATTGATAACATTTTAAATGGTATTAGTTATTAAGAGGACATGGTACCCGCGTGTTGTCTCCGTCTTACAAGTGCATAACATACCAAATTTGACGCTCAGAAAAACACGTGTAGCTCCGTTAATTAAAAATTTGAGTGAATTGACCTCTTAAAATCTAAAGGTAAGATTATTATTTAGACAACCTCATGGACTTTTTATTATGTTTAATTTTAGAGTGAGTTATGAGTATTGTAAACCGTTTTATTTTTTTCATTAAAATGTTATCAAAATTAGTTGAAATGTACCTGAATGCAGAATGAAATATGTGAACATGTATTTGTCTCTAAATCAGTGGGTCTCAACGGGGGCGATATCGAACCCCAATAAGCGGTGAATTCACTCTGTTTTTGAAGCTAACTGAGCTACACGTCTTCTGCTTTGCGTATAATTTGCCATGTTACACACTTGTAAGACGAAGACAACACATGCGGGTATCACATCCTCTTAATATGGAACTATTTTAAAACTATTAGATTTTCAGTTTTCTTTAAAGATTCTATTACAGAAACCATATAAAATTTGATGTAGTATTTTTTTAATTTTGAACATTGTTATTACCTACTTTTACTAGGTATACAAAAAAATAATATTAGTTTTTAACCAAAACAATATTATTTTTATTGATGTCAAATTTTCTTGAAAAATAATAAATTAAAATTAATAAAACGTACTTTATGGTACTTTAATACAAGTATTTTAATTTTGTTAAACATTTTTTTAAAAAGTATTCAAAATACATAAAAAATACACTAAACAAATTTTAGAATACCATATAAATACTTGTATTCGAATACTTTACAAGACTGCCAATAAGCATACTATGTTTAGTAAAGATAGGAATGCTATATTCATATGTTTAATATCATCTATTTCAAATCAAATTAATATCTATGGTTTTTAATTGTTTAGGTATGTTATTCGGAGTATTTGATGGACATGGTGGCGCAAGCTGCTCACATGTAATTACCAAACGTTTATTTGATTACATTTGTGTAAGTCTGTTGCCCAAGCCACTACTTTTAGAATATCTAGAGTCTGGTAATCAGCTTGTTGAAATGCGCAATGAGACATTTGATTTAGTTGGTGAATTAAAAACCTTATATGCTCAAAGTCTGAAGTCATATGTACTTAAATTAATAAATGAAAGCCAAGAACATCAGTTTAAAATGAAAGATGCATTAGAAAAAGCTTTTTTGCAATTAGATGAAGATATTATGGCTGAAGCAAGATTTAATATCAATAGTGAAGTTGATAATTTAACATTGAATGTAGGGTTGTCTGGATCCGTAGCATGTGTTGCTCATATTGATGGACCTCATTTACATGTTGCTTCAACTGGAGATTGTTTGGCAGTAGTTGGAGTATACACAGACGATGACACATGGATAGCTAAGGTAGATCATAATTTTTTATGCTTGGCATTCCTTTGAATATATTAAATAGTTGTGTGATTAACTAGGTTATGGTTGAGGAACATAATACTGATAATTTAAATGAACTTCATAGAGTGATTTCTGAACATCCATCTAATGAAAAAGACACGGTTATAAAATATGAAAGACTTCTTGGTCAGCTAGCACCATTAAGAGCTTTTGGAGATTTAAGGTTGTTAACTTTTAATTAAATTAGTAATGATATTTTATATGACAATATAATTACTATTTTATATAATAATAATATTATGCAATATCTTTCATTATAAATAACTAAAATAAGTATTTTATTATTTGATATTTAAAATATTAGATATAAATGGTCAAGAGAAATGTTATCGGAGCACATTGTTCCTAAACTGGGAGAAAATGCAATACCTCCTTTTTACTACACACCGCCATATTTAACTGCTAAACCTCAAGTTGCTCATCATCATCTTCAACCAAGAGATAAATTTCTAATACTTGCTACAGATGGCCTGTGGGATTTCATGTCTCCGTTACAAGTAATATAGAGTTCTGTTTATGTTTATGTTTAACCTTACACAATCATTGTTTATATAATTGTTTTACAATTTATATAATAGGACCAATAACGAATTGCCAATTAACATTGTAATACTTCTCAGTACTCAGTATTAGCTTTTCAAAGCCCCCTAAGGTGTAATTAAATTAATTATTTTAACATTTTAGGTTGTTCGTTTGGTTGGAGAACATATGAGTGGAAAAGTTACATTGACACCACTCAAGTTACCAAGAAAAAATATGAAATTAAGTGACATAAATAATTTACTTTTACAAAGACGAGACAGTTTAAAACGAAAACCAGTTGATGCAAATGCATGTACACATTTAATACGCAATGCATTAGGCGGTTCTGAATATGGCGTTGAGCATGCTAAATTATCTCAATTACTAAATTTGCCCAAAAATATTTCTAGATCATTTAGAGATGATATAACTATAACTATTGTTTATTTTAACACAGAGTACTTAAGACATCCTCAATCTTAAGATAGTTAATTTGTTTTGAAATTTAAAATGTTTAAAATGATATATTGTGTGATTTAAAAAAAAGACTATTATTATATCTCATATTTTATTTCACAATAAACTAAATAAATATTAAATGTGTAAAAATTGGAAATGCTTGTTTTTATTCAATGTTGTTTGTTGAATCTAAATTAATCACAAAACAATTGCAAATAGTGGCATAGAATTTGTTTATGTGGGTAGAGCTTTAACATAAATATAATAAAAAAAAATTGAGTATACAAATCTTATTACATTAATATTTGAAATACAAGATATTATGGTGGAAGGAGGTGGGGGGTGTCAACACTTAAAACTACTAGTCGGTTAAATAGTTTGACCCTATATGTTTAATTTTTTATATTTTCATTTTAATGATATCGAAGTTCGTAAAAACTTATCAAAAAATACATAGATTGTATAGTGTATAAAATATGTAATTTTTCGTATTAGACTAGACTACAAAATCGGATTATTATTATTATAGTCTATTCAGAATAAATTTTTATTGATAAATAATATATATATTATATACTATTATACTATACCTATTGAGCATAAATCGTTTTAAAACATCATTATTTTCATTAATAAGTAATTTATCAAAAAAAATGTACTATCATAATTCATAATTAATTGATATAACTTACATTGCAATTTTAAATAAATAGCATATTTAAACTACATATTTACTACAACATTTTAATTACTGATTCAAAATAGGATAATTATTCAATGGGAACCACATTATATACAGACACAGTGAATATTGAAATGGAACAAGTAAAATATGAAAATTACATTTCTCAATTAATTATTTCTCAATGTAACTTCTTATTAGTCATAAGTATGTATTTAAAAATAATGTATTAAGATTTTTATTTATACTGATATAAATACTATACTTAAGAGGACGTTATACCCGCATGTGTTGTTTCCGTTCTACAAATGTACAACATTGTAAAAACTGTTTTCCGCGGGAAAGAAGCGAGAAGGCTGCAGTCATACCTAAGAAACGAGATTTTCATCACATAAAAAGGTCAACTTTGGCTGTGCAACGTTGGTTTAAATTTTTTGGATATCACTTATATAAAAAAAGTTCTTACTGTTTTAAAAACCATTATTGTTTGTGTTTTTCAAACTTGAATAACTTTTTAATTCCCAGTAATTTGCAAATTTTCATGATTTTTACAAATTTTGTCAAGATTTGAACTTTAAATTGAGTATAAAAAAAAATTGTGACTGGATTTTTAATATTTTTCAAATGTCATTGTAAAAATAATACAATATATTAGAAAAAAACTCAAAATATTTGAAAATGAAAATATCAGTTAACAGTTGAAAACAAATCAAAATGTTTTGAAAATTTTATCATGTAAAGAAAATGCTGATATGAAGAACCAGTGAAAATGTCATGTATCTAAGGTCATTTTTTTTAGAGTAACACCAAAAACCAAAATAGATTTTGTTTTAATTTTTTTTCCTCTGCGTTTTTCAAAATTATTAGGAATTTTTTACTTTTGACCCCCCCCCCCCCCCCAAAAAAAAGTACCAACTAGACTCACTTTCCTATCAGAAAAGATACTGTTGAAGAAAAGCCAAGCATTTTTACTGTCTTAAAAGGTGATGACTATAGGAGTAATTAGGTGGGGGCTTAGCTTAGGCTTTTATAACTAATTTTTTTTTCGTTTTAGAAATTGGGAATTTTTTTTCAAATCAAAAAACAAACTCAAATTTGTTTAATTTTTGTTTAAAAAATTATTTCATCAATTTGTTATGAATTATGCCTTTTGGTGATAAGAAAAAAAGCTGGTTGCCAAACCATTTTGTGGTTAAAATTAAAGAAAATTTTGATATTGATGATATTAAACAAGAACATAAGCATGCGCACGGGGGAGGCAGGGGAGGCAGCTGCCTCCGCTGCGAGATTTTTCCGCTCCCCCGAGATCTTATATTATATTATTATACATAACACATTATTGACATTAATACCTACCAAGATTTAAAATATACCAATATCTTATGAACAAGCTTATAATGTAGATTATGAAGAAGTAATAGACATTTTTAAAACATTAGACCCTACTTCCAAACGACGTCGGACGTATGGAACTTTAATAAAACATACCTACTACATTATTAGCTATTTTAAAAGTTGTTCAAATTATGCTTTTTTGTTTTTTTTTTCTTATTATGTATTCTATGTTCTATTAGGTATGTGGTCTTTATCGTTATCTATTCATTAAAGATACATATTATTAAAAAGGATTTATTGAAAACTATTTTGGTAATTTTATGTGTAACCTAACTCTTAACCGTATAGAATAATACCATGGTTTAATATAATCATATACTTGATTTTGTGTGAGGATTTATTTATTAATCGTTGGCTCACATCGAGGTCTAAGCTGTGAAAAAAATATCTAGGGGAGGGGTTTGAAGTCTGGACCTCCTTAGCAAAGGTATTGCCTCCCCTGCCAAGAAGACCTGCGCACGCTTATGAACAAGAACTAAGAATTTATGTAATGAAGATGTGTACCAAAATTTATATAAATTGCTACAAGTATCTTGTTAAGATATCTTAAAAGCTTGTCAGAGAACCACAATGAAAAACAATATCGAAAGAGATGTAACTAATATTCTTGACACAGAAATAATTATATATTATAAGTTATTATATACAATTATTGATACATTTTTAGCAACTAATAGACAATTAGTATTGATTTTATATGATTGATATTACTCTATAATATGAACATTTTGTATTTGAGTAAAAGTTGAATTAAAAATATTTCTAGGTATAAAATTATTTATAATTTTAATTAAAATTTTTTAATTCACTACCTATAGTTTCATATGAATTTATTTGTGTATTGTTAGTAGCCAGTCGGTATATTAGTTAGGGGGTGAGGGGGCAAAACTGATAAAAGTTAACAATGCACCCTCTACAAAAAAACAATTTGATACTTGTTGCGCCTATGATGATGACAGACACAAGAAAAAATTAAAAAATTAAAAAACATCATTGTAAAATCAATACATTTATCGCTCCGCGCAGAATCAAATAAACACACATCATTGTAAAATCAATACAATATTTGCTAAGCTCAGTATTAAAAAAATAGTCAATCCTCAAATAAAAAATATAATCTCAGAAGAAATGATAAAAAAAGTTTAAAGAATACATAATCAAATTGTATTTTGATTTTATTAAGAATAAAAACATTTTTAAACCAAGTCCTAATTTTCTCTTTTGTTAAATTAAAATTATAACTTTTTAAAACACAGTATTTTAAGATTGATTTAAGTACTTCTAAATCAACAATCTAACAATTTTATTTCCAGATATTTTTATTTTTTACGGTAACATCAGCTTCATCAACATTTTGTTTAAACTTGTGTGAAAAATTTGACGTATATCACGACGTCTCAATGATGATTAATAAATTTGGCTACCTATTTAGAATATTGAATGACTCATACAAAAAGATTATAGGAATCCCGGAAAGAAAAAACAATTTTTTAAAAACGTGGGTGTCACTCTGCTGTACAGTAGGTTACAAGTGGGTTATTGTAATGGATATTGTTAAATTTGAATTCAATGATATACTATCATTGTATAAGCAAAACGATTCTGAGCTAAAACGGTCAGTCAACCTATGATATTAGTATATTACTAAGTATATTTGATAATATTATTGTGAATAAAGTAATTTATATATTTACCTATTTACATAGACCCTTGTTTTAAATTTCCAATTCTTAGCTATAAAAGTTGAACATTTTATACATTTTTAACAACAAAATAATTATTAAATTTTAAATTTTGTCAAAATTCAAACTTTAAATGGTTATAAAAAAAAATTGTACCTATGTATTTTTGATATTTTTTAACTACTATTGTAACAATATATCATGAGCCTTGCATTAAATTTTCATGCTTTTTTACCTAAAAAATACATTTTTTTTTGATATTTATAGAAAAAAAAAACTAAAAAAATTGAAAACTGAAAATGTCCGTAAACAGCCCAAAGAGAGTCAAAATATTTTCAAATTTAATGGTGTATAGAAAATTAAAATATAAACATATTTTCATGTATCTACAGTTTTTCGTTTTTGAATAACAATAAAATAACAAAATCCTCTACATGAGAAATCGAGTGAATATCCAATGTTGTAAAAATTTGAACATCAATCACTCATAAAAATTTCATTTCATTAATCATTTGCCTGTAGACATTTTTTTTTTGATAAAGGTAGATAAACTTATGAGGTAACATTTTCAAATCTTAGGTTTAAAAAGAAAATTTTTATGAATTCTCAACACAAAATAATTTGCTAATTTTTGTGATTTTGCAGTATTTTGTTAAGATTTGAACATTAAATGCTTATAAATAAAAACTGTGACTAAGGATTTTTAATATTTTTCAAATGTTATTGTTACAATATAGTAGGAACCTTGTATTAAACTATCAAGCTCTTAACCCAACAAATAAAGTTTTATTGACATTCATAGAAATAAAAAAATTCAATTGGAAACAGGAAATGTTCCTAAACAGTTAAACACAAATCGAAATATTTTGAAAATTTTATCGTGTATAGAAAATGCATATATAAACGACCAGTGAAAATGTCATGTATATACTTTCATTTGTTTTAGAGTTACACAAAAAACCTAAATCAATTTTGAGTAAATATTCCCGTTTTTCCTTAATTTATATGTTGTTTTTCCCAGCGCTTTTGAAAACTATCGAGAATTTTCAATTTTAACCTCCCCAATGCACCAACAATGTTCACTTTCCCATCGAACAAGATACTGAAGTTGAAAATCGATGTATTAGGTACTTCGACTTCTTTTTAAACTTTTTATTATATTTAAATGTATGTTAAATGATTTATAAAATATTTTGTATAGGAGTGAGAGCATATAATATAGTATTGTATAGGTTTGCAGTGTTACCGGTGATTTAGGTAATAATAATTTTATATTGATATTTCTTGTTTTGTGTGATAGTCAATTATTAGGTTTTTTTTAATTAAAAAAATTGTGTTCTATGGGTGTTCTTTTTTTCTGTTGGTTTTTTACCGATTACCAGATTATAGATTACTGAGTGTAATAGTTAACTTAAAATATTTTAAGTTATAATCAGTGTCCTATTTTAAAATAAAAATTTCATCAAGATTTTATAAAAGAAATGTGAAGTATGCCATCAATATAACTATGGGCTGTAATGATAAATAATATGGCTCAGTAAAATTATAACAAATAAAAATATATTATAGTTTACTTCTACACATATAAATATAAATTTTTATAGAATTTAACAAACTTTAAGTATAATAGTTGCTATAATGTCATAGTGAATGATTAAAAAAATGCTTCAAATTTAATTTTAAAACACAGGTCTTGACATTGTTCAATTATTACACTGCCTTAACGCATCATTTGGTTTTTATATAATTATATCAATGTAATTGTAAATAACATCGACAGAACTAAGTATTTAGTCTGTTATACTAAAAGATTGATAAATTATAGCCAAAATTAGTAAAACACCGATAAATGAATAAAGTATAATATATAAAAACTGATTAAAAATTAAAATTAAATGATTTATTTTTACATAATATCTAGACAATATATTAAAAATAAAAAGTTTATAAATAATATGTATAGATGATAAGGATAACATTATAATTAGATACAAAGTTGGAGAAAATAATTTTATTTCTAAAAAAAAAAAATCATGTCTTGATCCATTGGAAAATAGAACTGGTCAAAATCAAACCATTTTCATCCCATTTATTTGAACATTTATAGCTGACTCACCCTTCTTGACCGAAATCCATAGTAAACTTATCCAATTTCTTCATATCATCATCATTCACTGTAGGTTTCGATGTTGCCAATGATCGTAACATATCACTCTATAATAATAATATACAATATATATTTAAAAAATTAAAACATATCAGCCATTTACCATAGATACTGCGGGTTCAAGAAGTTTATCACTGGGGACATCCATAAACGACATTTCAACGGCACCAGGGCTACCCGGAGAACATGGTGTTAACAAGTCATTTACAATAACATTTGGATCTGCTCGGCTAGGGCCAGCTATTCGTTTAAAATGTGTAGCTGTTTGCACTTTACGTACTGGTTGCATTAATGCATCTCTTACAACTATACTGATATCTGCTCCAGAATAGCTAATTAAAATAATGTATTTTTTATTTATTTATTTTTTATTTCATATTATAATTTAATTTTAGAGTAAATACCCTTCAGTTTTAGTTGCTAATGTCTTAAGGTCAGCTTCAGTTAGTAAATGGTAGGTATTGCCTAAATTTTGTTTCAACATTATTAGTCGAGCATGTTCTTCTGGCAAAGGTATGTAAATACGCTTCTCAAAACGTCTACGTATAGCAGCATCAAGTACCCAGGGTATGTTTGTGGCACCCAATACAAGAATACCTTCATTATCAGTACCAACACCTAAAAAGTAAACATTCATAGCATAAAAATCAAACATATACATTAGGGTGTTCCTTAATTTTCAATTTCAAAATATTTTTGGTCTCACCCCCTAAATCGGTGTGTATACATATAAAAGTGAACTGCAAAAAATTTCAGGTCAATTAAATAAAGTTAACCCGCGCCGACTTCAAGTTAAAGTTTGAGCTTAATACATTTTTAAATAATATTAGACAATTTTTGTATTTTCGTAAATATTTCGTAAACCATTATGAAAATCGTAATTTTTTATAATATGTTTTTTCAAGTAAATTAAATTTCCAATATATTTTATAATATAACATTTTTTAATAAATCTATTAATTTATAAGATGCATAAGTTTTAATCTTAAAAAACAGAATTTATACCCAAATTTATAATTTACATTTTATTATTTTATTGTAGGATTAATAATAATAATCTTAACTTATAATATTTGGTAAAATTATAAAATGTTCAATGTTCATAGTAATATTATGTACTTCTTATACACTTATTTGTGTAATTATTGGTTCTTAATATTTTCGTATTATACTCGTATAAATAATAAACGATAAGATTGTGAAAATGATTAAGATGTGTTGAAATACGTATTGTTTATCTATAACTTATCGCATTAATAGTTTCCGTAGGTATTAGTCTTGCTTTATAATTTATAAAAGATATTATTTTATTAGCGATACTCATTTATTTCCATTGTGTCAACGTCTTATGTGTTAAAGGTTATTATTGTGTTTGTCGTTAGCTGTACGAGAGTGTTGCATTTTTTGGGAAAAAGCCTGGATTCCTATTCGAGCTATTCATCATTGCATAACTAAATTAATTAACTTGTACAAGGAATGGCGTAATCTACAGAAAAATGCACAAAAAGTTGGTGAATCTTATCGGTTAAAAGAAAATGATTTAAAAAAAAAAAAAATAGATTTGTTATTTGATATTGCTCATTCTGATGAGTTAAAATTAATTAAAATAGAAGTTGATAAACAGTTTCTAATAAACCAGCGTTTACCAGGGCATCCTGGTTGTCTCGGAGGTATAGATATTAAAGGAGAAATAAAAGAAAATAATCGAAAAGAAAAGAAATGTATAATACAAGTTGTGCTTCAACTTCGACATTACTCGATAACTCATTTGAACAAAATTTAGAAACTGATAGTCTAGAAAGTAGCGATATATCGGAATTAGAGACCAGCATTAATTCTTTAGAGCTAATAGAACCACCAACAAAAAAAAGAAATGCAGTGGAAAAATAAATTTTATAACACCAAAATTGGCCGGAGCGTTAGATAGATGTCAATTAAGTATTCGAGATTCTGTATATGTTCTCCAGGCTACTTTAGAAGCTTTAAATTTTAATACAGACGATTACGTAATAAACCAGACTTCTATACACAGAGCTCGAGAATCATACCGTTGCGAGCGTGGTGAACTAATAAAATTACAATTTAAGAAATCACTACCTAATTACGCAGTAGTACATTGGATGGAGATTGGGGACTATGCAATATAGTACAAGCTCTGTGTACTATTTAATTACGCTTATGCATCTTTTAAATAAATAGATTTATCAAAAAATGTTATATTATAAAATATATTGGAAATTTAATTTACTTGAAAAAACATATTATAAAAAATTACGATTTTCATAATAGTTTACGAAATATTTACGGAAATACAAAAATTGTCTAAAATTATTTAAAAATGTATTAAGCTCAAACTTTAACTTCAAGTCGGCACGGGTTAACTTTATTTGATTGACCTAAAATTTTTTGCAGTTCACTTTTATATGTATACACACCGATTTAGGGGGTGAGACCAGAAAAATATCATTATTTTTTTTTTTCTTATATGGCTAAGGAACACCCTAATATACATATATAAATATGACATATTACAAATATTACCTTGCATTTGTACTAAAAACTCAGTTTTTATTCGTCGAGCTGATTCAGATTCATTATCTGAACGCGATGAACAAAGTGAATCTACTTCATCAATGAATATAATGCTGGGTTTATGTTGTCTAGCTAATTCAAAAAGATTTTTCACCAGTTTTTCAGATTCACCTAACCATTTAGATACAAGATCAGAAGATGAGACAGAAAAGAATGTAGAATTATTAGCTTCAGTAGCAACCGCTTTTGCTAAATACGATTTACCAGTCCCTGGTGGCTAAGACAACAATTTTAAATGCATTTTAATCAATATTATCATTCATTAAAATCATGAATATAGTTACCCCGAATAATAGTATTCCTTTCCAAGGGATTCTTTTGCCAGTAAATAGGTGAGGGAATTTTATAGGAAGTATGACAGCTTCTTTAAGGGCTTCTTTTGCTCCTTCTAAGCCAGCTATGTCTGACCATTTCACACAAGGCTTTTCAACAACAATAGCTCCTTCCAATTTATTTTGTAGTTTTTTTGCTTCAGGGTCATCTCCATCGTCATCGCTATCATTTTTCTTGTCATCATTTCTTTAATTACGTAATATTGTAATCATAATACATAATATTTATATTAATATTATGGGCAATGTAAATACTTACTTAGAGTTTGATTCTCCAGCCTTAACTGGTTTCTTTTTATTTTTTCCATTTTTTAAGTAATCTTTTAGTTTTTCAGCTCTTTCTAAATATTGTGTACAACGACCTCGTATGCTGTCCTTAGCTTTTTCGCCTTGGGTTTCATCTATACATTTACAATACAAATGCTATAAAAAGATATATACATATATTACGTATATTAAACTTACATTTTAAAGCATGTAAAAAATATTCAATTCCGCTTTCATATAATTTTAAAGCTTCTTCATAATTTTTATTGCGGTCTTCTTCAGTTGCTTTGGTTACTAAATCGATTGCTTTCTAGAACAAAATAAAGTTAAAATATATGCAATTTTAGTTTTGATATTAGGTAGTTGTGCAAGATCAAAGTGAAAATAAAGTATTAACTTAAAATTTTAATTATATTCTTGGTTAATTTTTTCAAAATATATAACCTTCGTTAACTTGATCATTGGGAAATAATACATTTAAAACCAGCTACCTACCTACTAATAACAATAGAAATGTACAGCTACAATAGGCATCCACTTAAGAATCAAACTTGTAGGTTTTTGGGTTAAAAGCCCATCTAAATTTTAAGAATTACATATTGTACAATATTATTAATTACCTGTAAAGTAGCAGAAACGGCCATACTATTAGCATAAAATAAGTTATGTATAAGAATTATGAATATTTAGATATTAATTTAATTGATTATTAATATTCGTCATTCGACTATAATAATAGTAAATACTTTTATTTTTATGGAAAAATGAAAATACCTAGAAAAATCCACAATTGATAAGGATATGCTCGTGCAGTGCAACCAACAACTGTGCATAGTGTGCAATCCGGACAACAGATGTCGTTATCCCAGGACGGACGCCGGAAAACGACGGCTGTTGTCCTATCCAATTGTTTTAGGACAGTGTTTTTCCTTAAAATTTGCGTGAAAATTTAGGCCGACCTTTGTTTCGAGCCCGGCGACACCGGTGGAGCCCCGTGGTATTTTCCGCGAAAACCGTTCATGTTGGATGACCTACTTTCCAAAAGAACCGTCGATACGGCAAGCCTGCGTTCTACGCAAAGTGGACATAAGGTGTTATTATTGTTTTTTTTTTTTTCATCCGCAATCGAAATTATTCATTTTCACTTTTTTTTATCTATCCCCCTGGTGCGAAAAAAAACAAAATAAATACTTAAATCCGTCCGCCGCATTCGTCACAACCCTTCGCGTTTTTCCGTCGTAGCCCGTTCCACCGTCGCTCGTCGGGCCGTACAGTGACAACATCAACAAAATTGTCGTCGCCCGCCGACGTGTACGCAGATAATATATTCTGGGTAAAATATTTTATATTTTTCCGCCGTCGTCCCGGACGGTTGCCGTCTTGTGTCGTGTACCGCCGCGCCAGTGTTCATAACAATACCGATATTATACATGTATATATACCAGGCGACGTGAAAAACAAGTGCAAGTGAATGACGATGGCCTACCGACCTATATTGCCGCCGTGGTGGCCGTTCGTCGGAAATGCCTCGGTGCGAGCATGACGGCGCAACTGTCGGAGTACGCGACGTCGGGCCCGATGGCCGGCGACGAGAACGGCGGTGGCAGCAGCAGCAATGATAGCGGTGGTGTCGTCGTCGTCGGTGGCTGCAGTGGCGACGAATCCGCGGCCGAACGACGGGTGGTGATGATCGCGTTCAAAATGGAAAACGATTGCGATGAGGAGACGGCCGCCGGACCGTCGCGGGACGACTCGAACTCGGAATCACACGCCATGGTCGAGCTCGAGCTCGAGCAGCAGCAATCTCCGCCGTCGTTTTCGTCGGACGGAAATACAGCTGGTAAGACGGCGTACATATTATTTTTTCGTACTATAATGTCATCGTGTGTATTATGTGTAAAAAGTTACGATCGAGGGTGTTTTCCTCGGTCGCGGGAAACGTGTACGTGACGGACGAACACGGCGTCCCCGGACGTCCGGGTCGTCGCGTCTTTCCTGGACGGGGCGGGCGCGCGGCGCAACACTTTCTCTTTTTTTTTTTGTCTGTTTCTCTTTCCGTTTGCGCGCTCCGCCGCTGCCTGTCCGTCTTTGAGTCTGTCCGCTCACCCGTCATAATCGCTGTCGTGTGTTTTACTGTCGTGCGGTGCCCCGACGGCGTCGCGGTCGGTCGTCGTGTGCGGTGTGGCCAGGCGTGCCGCTCCAATAGATGCTTATCTCGTTCGGCAGATAACCGCCGCTGCCGCAGCACTACACCTGTTGTTGGGTGAGTGGGCGGGCGGGGTGACCTTATTGGTCAAGTTCATGCACGGGTACCGCGGAGCCTTGACTGTGGACACGGTGAATAGAGCTATTTTGGGTCCACGCGACTGACGTGTGTGCCGTATTGGCTATTGAGTCGGTCGCCTCCCGTGGTGGTGGTGGCTACCGTAGTACCGTGTACCAGTCCGGTGGGACCCTCAACTCCCGAGGATGTATACGACGGTACACCGTGGTGTACCGTTTTCACCTGATGCGTAATACAATGGGCCAATACGTAGACGTGTTGGTTAGGGGCCGGGGCGGGTGGCCTGTTCGGTGGTTGTTTTCGTCACCCGTCCGGCGCTGTGTGGTTGGCGGGAGGGCATGCGTCGCCGCGTCGGTATTGTCGTCGGAACACGTCGTTTTTCGTCGCCCGCCGGGAACAGGTTTTTCGTCGTCGCTCTTCCACGGGTTGTGTTTCGAGTCTAGACTCAAGAAATTAGAATCTTACAGAACCACTAGGGGTAGTGTGGAACCTTCGGATGACAAAGAATTAAGATATACGTTCCTTGTTTTATAGCACTTAGTATAATATTACATCGTATACAGTTTTAATCTTATTTAATAAACAAAGACGTGGACAACTGCAACGGAGCGAGGCTGCTAGCCTTTCCCATCCACCTGATTTACAGTTTTTGCGTCTGTCATGTCCCGTGTTATTGTGAGAGGTAGTAGTAGCATGGAATTTTGTAACTCAGAAGTTTTTGGCCATTATAATGGAGAGAAAAACGATGGTTTTCGCTGGCACAAAAGCTTTTGAATGATAAAGAAACTAACATTTAAACAAGAGATAAAGGAGATTTAATGATGTTGCAAGGTAATGGTATCAGTTGTGGTAATGGCTTAAAGATTTTTGTACAATGCCGCATCGATAAGCTTAATATCGATGTTTATTTAACGACGACACTCAAACTGGTTTGAAAAAAAATTTTATTGCCAATAAACAGTAGTCGTTGGCTGTTGTATGGTTTGGACTTGGAAATAGAGAGTAAGGTATAATATACAGGATATATTTCAAACTTAATTTTAGGAGATACAAGTTAATGTTGACATTTTCCTACTGATATTTTGTCACTAATTTGTTCATTATTTTAAATGATCTCCCACTAAAATAATAATAATATCTACTTTTAATCTTTGACTTATTAAATTAATCGTGATAAATACCAATTCGATGGTTAAGGATGACACGGATTTCTACTGCAATACGTCTTTTTATCTTGGTTAGGTTATTTTAAATAAAAAATACGTCTTTTTAATTATCAAGTAATCGCTTGTTTAGGTTGAATTCAGTAAGTTCATTCAATGACATAATACATAGGTTTTTACAATTTTTAATTGGCAGGTTTATTATAAAGTTACCATACCTATCACATAGGTTTAAAGTAATGTTTTGATATCGTCAATAAACGATGGCGGCGCCGCGGAAGCAATGCGAAAGCAGATCCCGCGGCGTCGTCGGTTAAAACAGGAAAAAAAAAAAAAAAAAAAAGGTTTAAAGTAATGTCCACTACAATTAGGTTCTCGTAACCTCATAATAATTATTATAAATCCTATTTATCACACCTGTTTTGGTAATAAAAAACAAAAAAAAAATTCAAATTTCTTAAGTTTGTACACGCTGCATAATTGTTTGATTTTAGTGTAATATAATGCACAATGCACTTCTGTTCTTTAATACACCCATAAAACCTACATATATACGTATTGTTAAATAAATTGGAAGTAGGTACCTACATTTTAAAGATTTATGTTTAATAAACGATAGTCGTTAATATACATCTTATTAACGACTTTGAAATATTCAAAACAAACACGTACAGAATAATTATTTTTGGTCCTAATTAAATTACTTAAATATAGTAAGACAAGTATGTTGATCAATGTGTTAAATATAAGATTAATTAAAAACATTTAAACAAAAGAAATGATATACCTACGTATTTATCACTTTTTAACTAGGTATATATAGTATTTCGTAGGTATATTCAGTAGTATTTAATATTTGAATGTTATCAATTAAAAATAACTTAATAACAATTTGTATAGAAATATCATAAAGCCAAACAACTATAGGTAGTTATAAATAATATATTTTTCTCTGCATTTTGCACTATTGATGTTGAATAAAAAATGAAAACTCAATTTGTAATTAAAAATAGTCTTATTGAATTTTAGTCCCTAATAATAAAAATGTTGACCTAACCTAATATTAAAAAAAAACCAAATAGTTAAATAAATTGTAATCAATATTTTTGTAGATAGTGAGTTTAGACGAAAAGTATGGTATAACAATAAATACTCGAATAAATATTACTGTAAGTATCTAAATGTTTTGAATTTGTTGTTTTGTGTATCACGGGGTGATCCATGAAAGACATTAATTTATTTTACATAGTTTTAAGTCGTTAAAAAACATTTTTTGTAAAACCTTATATTTTAAACTTATCGTTTTTTTTTAAGTTTTTACTGTTTTAAATGACAACAAATACATTTTATATTTAATTTTCTAAGTATAATATTATTCGGTGTACCTATTTCGTTATAAAACCAAATTTCAGACAAGTATTTAACTTGATAATTATTAAGTTTAGATGAGCGGAGTAGTCGACCAGAATTTAGTGGGGTTGGCAGTGGGGAGCAGTTCATCTAAACTTTAAATACTTATAACTTAAAAACTACTCGTTCAAAATTAGATCTATTCATCGAGTACTCCAAAATATTTTTCAGCTTTTGTATAAGGAATCAATGCTTGTTGTCTTAAAAAAAAATATGTAAAAAATTATGATAAAAAATATAAAATAATATTGAAAAATGTTGTTTTTTATTGACTTTCAATTATGTAAAAAAATATTTTCAAAAACGTTAACAATTTGTTATAGCTAGGCATAATATGTGTTTCAATAATTGTATAATTATATTTTAGTTTACGTTAAAAATAAAGTAATACCTACTGTTAAATAATTAAAATTATATTGACATATAGGTATAACGATTAAAAATAATTTATATTTTAGAAAAAAGATCTTCAATTTTGATCATGACGTAGTGCCCAATGAATTATAATATAACGTTTGAATTGTTGACCCACAACAGTTAGTATGATTTCCCCCTACTAATTCTATAACAGGGAGGAAAGATTATTGGATGCATCCGGACTTAAATTGACCAAGTCATGCTTTGATATTAAAGGTTAAACTACCAACTAATAGTTCATGGCCTAATCTGAAACATATCCATTAGGTATCTTATATTATCAGTAGATAAAGTGTATAATATACTCCAGTAAAATATGTAGCTGAAAGGAATATAGGTAAGCCACATTAATTCAACAGACAACAATAATACCTGGAATTTTTCGCAAGATTAAAATGTAGACAGAAAATATAATTTCATTTTCATTTTCACTGCATGAATTATAAAAAGGCAGGTACATTATTACGATAACTGATAATTGTTATTTAAAGTTTTCAAGTTTACAATTAATATACTTGGTATTTGGGTTATATATTCTGTTAAAAAAAATTAATAATATTGTTATTACAACCTTATAATGAACGCACATGTACAATAATTACGAAGTATTAGTTTTTGGTTAGGTAAATACTAAGTACTAAGTACATACACGGATGATATTGATAAGAAATACAATTTGATTCACAAGTACCACATAGTTAGCAAAACCATATCATTATTTTTTAATTTTCAGATTTATAAATAAGGGTTAAGCATTGTTATAACTCATAATAATAACTTTTTTTTTGAAAAAAAATTCTTTTGCGGAACGTCCGCTGCGGATTTTCCGCTAGTGTGACACCGGCCTTATTAAGGATTATATTTTAATTAAATAAACGATATTATTATTAAGTTTAATAAGTACACTGTAGTTACTATTTCTAAACAACTAATAACATTTCTATTTATATAAGTGATAATTTATTTATAAGCAATTGATATCATTTAAATAAATGGGTTAATAATTAGCAAACAAATATTTGATTACTTAGAAAATATAATTTAATATATAAATACATTTTCCAGAGCTTTGCTTTTGTTACTTGTTTTTGGCACTTATGTGTGCCACTGGTTGCATGTAGATACATATTATTTACATTTTAAATAATAGTCAACATTTTTCTGAGGTTCTGTTAATGAAAAGTCTCCTCTTCACTCGATTCATGTTTGTATATACTTTTCTATGTTTCCTTATGACTTATTCTTTTTATTTTGCATACATTGAATATATTTAAATAATAAAAAGAAAAGTACTTATATTATTATATTTTTGTAATCTGTATTGCGTATGTCTATAACTTGTTATATAGTACTAACTTGTTAAAACTTGTCCAATGTATAATTAGATAGTGTATGAATCAATTTGTATATACGTGACATATTAGCTGTATGAATTATTATATTTTATTTAAATCTATATAAATATCGACAGTACAAAAAAGAGCATAACAAATATATTATTCATAAGGTTAGTTTTGGCTGTACGCTTATTTACGCTTATTTAGTGTTTATGAGTATTCCGGGGAG